TCACCAAAAACAACTAGTGTAGGTGTAAACAGTGATTAATCCAGTATGAACACTGACAACAATAATAACACAATGACAGGGAAGAAACGCCCACACACACATACACACACCTGCAGAACTGAGTTTGACCACTTCTGTATCACTTCAAGAGCTTCTTCTCACCAGTATCATAGCAAAAATCTGAAAACATCATAGACACACACACAAAATAATCAACATTAAAACACACACTGTAACCAAACAGTTAACTAGCACTCACACACAGTTACAGAGACTGGTAGCTAGATGGCTGTCTAGATCCAGCAATGCAACACACACACACACTAACGCACAAACATACACAAATACACACACACGCACACACAATATGTAAACTTATACACACTCGTCTCGTGGCGCACTAACATTCGCGCGTTCTCGTGTAAAGTAGTGTAGTGCATGACAGCTGTCAATCACTAGTGACGTGCGCTGATATGAATGCATGCGTGTTTACAGCGCGTTGTTTATGCAGATGCACGGAGGCACGGATGCGTCTAAAAGCCTGGCGTTATGGATTGTCGTACCGGAGCATATCCGGGTGCTGAACGGGACTTACGGTGTGTGTTTTGGCTCCCGTGTTTGGCTCCGGTGTGAGCGCGCGGCGGTACTGCGTAGCCATTGCTCTTCCTTCTTCCTTCACAGACAGCGAGACGAGCGAGCGAGAGAAACATATGACGACACCTTCGGTAGAGTTCGGCGGAGCTCGGCTCAGTTCGGCTGCGTTCGGCTGCAGGCGACGGAAAGGCAAAAGGTTAAACCAGGCTTTAAACGTGCACGACGTGTATTATTTATTGTTTTGAAAATAGCAAACACGTCCAAGTATTATTCATTCACTCATTTTCCTTCTGCTTAGTCTCTTATTTATCAAAGGTCGTCACAATGGAATGAACCGCCAACTATACACTATGCACATGTTTTACGCAGCAGATGCCCTTAGGAAATTATTATTATTATTAATAATAATAATAATAACAATAGTAGTAGTAGTAATAATAATAATAATAATAATAATAATCATATTAATAATAATATTAATAATAATAATAATAATAATAATAATAATAATAATAATAATAATAGTCATATTAATAAAAAATAGTAATAATAATAATAGTAATAATAATAGTCATATTAATAATAATAACAATTAATAGTAGTAGTGGTATTATTAAATAGTAAATATCTTAATGATAATTGGATATTATTATCATGATTATTTAAGGAATAGTTCACCCATGAATGAAAATTTACTGTTTATTTTGTATTCCTCTAGTGAGTTTTTTTCCAGTTATAAACAAAAGAAAGATATTTTGAAAAATGCTGAAAACCTGTAACCATTAGCTTCCATTGTAGGAAAAACAAATACAATCGAAGTCAATGAATACGAATTTTCAGCATTTTTCAAAGCATCTTCTTTTGTGTTTTACAGAAGGTAGAAACTCAACCCTCAACTCAATACATTGTCATTATAAGAAGAACAGGCAATAGTAATTAAAACTCTTTTGTTGTGTAAATACTTATTTTAAAAAGTTATAATAGTTATTGAGTTTGACAGGGTTATGAGTTACGTTTTTCTAGAATTCAGCCATAAAATTGTATTATTTTGTGTGAATATATATGATTTATAACAAATATTCTGGTTTCGTTTCTTAAGCAGCCCGTATTACGAAAGTAAAAGTTTCATTATTGCCAACAGGTGGCGCTGTAGTGCAATAATACATTACATGCAACATGTCAGGAAAAAGCAGTCTGATTGATGGATCAATCGATGAGTAAATAGATCATTTATATATTTATATGTATATTAATAATATTTATTAATATTTATTAACTTATGTAAAGTAAATTTTTACATTGATTATTCAAAAAGTTGGCTATTGAAACAGTTACCTGGAGCAAAATAAATAAAAAACAGCAATACATCCTACTCAGGCATGAACATGTGAGATTAAAAGAGTCTAGACTTAATTATTCAGGAGTTAAAACACTTGTCAGACATTAAACTTTGCAGCAACATTTATTTTGGAAACGATAAGGCAGTGTATTAAACGGAAATGTACAGTATGACTGCATTTCAATTAATGCAAAATGAAAATAAAATATCATTTTCAAATGTTATATTTTAATGCTTTCTAAGCGGCAAAAGTAAAATAAATTTATATGTATATTTTAAATAATAAATTAAAATAAAAAAATGTAAAACCCAAACATTTTGATGTGTGTATTGTACAAGCAGATTATTTATTTATTTATTTATTTATTATTTATTTAATTGTAAATTGCCCTAAATACATTTAGACTCACGTTTGGATTTTTCCTCACAACACTGTGAGATGTTTGTTGCAAAATTTGTACTGCATTTATAAATGCATTCTGAGCTAGTAAGAAATGGTAAGTTAAATGTTTTTTTAATTTTTGCATATAAATGTCATGTAAATAATAATTTTGCTACCGTTTCGGCTTGCATTCAGTTTGTGTATTAAATTTTCAATTTAATTGTGCAACCTATAAAGCATTAAAACTAGTGTTTAATTTACTTATTGAAACTATGGTTGGGGACATAATGCATATAAGTTCATTTTAATTTTCCACTAAATTAATTTTAACACTTAATTTTAATTTTCCCTATGATAGGGCCCTATGTGTCTTGTGAAAAAATTATGATGACTTATTGGGCAAATCTAAAAGGACATAAAAAGGATAGAAACCCATCTGTAAAGTTCTCCACCCATGCTGGGAGAAGGAAAAAACAAGGAATAAATGTTTTGCATGGAATTCTATAGAGGTTGCAACAGGATTAGATTTAATCCAGAAAACAATCATCCCAACAGTCCCAATATCAATTACACCCCCATGGTTTTTTTATTCAGTAAGCGTCGATCTGAATTTTCTAGAAAGTTGTCAAACATGTAAAGAGGCAGGAAACATTGCAATGTTAGTAGAGGAAAGAATTCAAACATTATATCAAAGTTAATTAGCAATTTATACAGACGGATCTAAAGACTCTCGTGGAAAAAAACAGCATATGCATTTACTATCCCATCTTTAGGTATATCAAAAAATAGGAGGACATCAGATCATCTGGCAGTTTATACAACTATAGCAATACTGACAGCATTAGATTGGGTAGAACAAATGAAGCCAAGATATAAGATTAATATCAGATTAATATTAATATCAATCCAGTCATTTTCATCTCAAAGCAGACAAGACTTGATAATCGATATATGTGAAGTACTTTACAGACTTAATAAGATTAATAAAGTGATTACTTTTATGTGGGCTCCAGCTCATAAAGGAGTTAAAGGGAATGAAATGGCTGATTTACTGGCGAAGGAGGCAATAAGGCAGGAAAATCTTATGGAAATACCATTCAGTAAAGAAGAGATGAAAGCAATAATTAAAGAGACAATAATTAGAGGGACAATGCAAATACTGGGAGACATCTTTTTTAACATGCAAAAGAAAGTAGGGAGGATGAAGAGGAGATGGAGAAGTACATTGGAAGACAGTGCAATATCTAGATTAAGACTAGGGCACACTAGATTACATATTGGAAAGCATCCTACTGGGTTATGCGAGTATTGTCTAGTAGAAGAATCAGTAGATCACATAATAAGTCATTGTCAGAAATATAATAAAGGGAAGTATTCAAGAAAATACAGCAGGGTACAATAAAAAACAAATCAAATACTTAGCCAAACAGAGTACTATAGTTATTTAATTTCATTTTTGAGGCAAACTGGGCTAATATATAGAATATAATATATAATATGAGTCTCGTAATCATTCTGGTTCACACTCCAGTATAGTAGGTGGCGGTAATGCACCTTAAAGTTGGATGCCACCTTCCATAAAACAACACGAAGAAGAAGACACCTGAGGCCAGTCAAGATCTTCAGGATTGAACATCCATGCAGGTTTGTGCTCTGTGTTTTTAACTCTTATAAGAGGTATTTGCTTTAATTAATACGTTATTTTATTTGCATTTGACATGTAAAGAGTTAATAAAGATTATTAAATACTGGTTATGGGTCAGTTTTTTGAGGAATTGACATTTTTAATCAAGTTACTCAAGCAGAGGTACTACTAGAAAGACATAGTGAGGTTTTGTCATATGAATGTCCACAATTTCAAGTAAATTTTTAGTGGTGTAGTTAATAAAAATCCACACAGGAGTAAATGATGCATTAAGGATCAATAAATTAAATTTTAAGTGATGTAGTTCACAAACAAACCCTACAGGAGGGCACATTGTGAAAGATTAATAAAGAATTTTTTAGTGATGTAGTTCACATAAATCACGACAGGAGGGCATATAAAATTATTAACAAAGTCAATGTACTTAACAAAATACACCACAGGAGGGCGCAATATTGTCAATTTGTAACAATGCAGTTCACAAAAATCACCACAGGAGGGTGCAATAGTCAATTTGTTGCGATGTAGTTCACGAAAATCACCACAGGAGGGCGCAATGGTCAATTTGTTGCAATGTAGTTTATAAAAATCACCACAGGAGGGCGCAATAATGTCAATTTGTTGCAATGTAGTTTATAAAAATCACCACAGGAGGGCGCAATAATGTCAATTTGTTGCAATGTAGTTTACAAAAATCACTACAGGAGGGCGCAATGAATTCAATTTGTTGTGATGTAGTTCACGAAACTCACCACAGGAGGGCGCAATAATGTCAATTTGTTGCAATGTAGTTTATAAAAATCACCACAGGAGGGCGCAATAATGTCAATTTGTTGCAATGTAGTTTACAAAAATCACCACAGGAGGGCGCAATAAATTCAATTTGTTGCAATGTAGTTTACAAAAATTACCACAGGAGGGCGCAATAGTCAATTTGTTGTGATGTAGTTCACGAAAATCACCACAGGAGGGCGCAATGGTCAATTTGTTGTGATATAGTTTTAAAAAATCACCACAGGAGGGCGCAATAATGTCAATTTGTTGCAATGTAGTTTAAAAAAATCACCACAGGAGGACGCATTAGTCAATTTGTTGCAATGTAGTTTATAAAAATCACCACAGGAGGGCGCATTAGTCAATTTGTTGTGATGTAGTTTACAAAAAATCATCACAGGAGGGCGCAATGGTCATTTGTAGCAATGTAGTTTTCAAAAATCACTACATGATGGAACAATCAATTAGACAGCATGTAGCTACACAGACTCAGTGGTGCAAGTAGTAATGAGCTGTGATTTAAATCATGACGTCGTTAGTTCGAATCCTATTAACAATTATGTTAAATTGTGATCATCACATGCAACAAAATCACATAAATGCCACAGTAGACAGAGAGTTCATTGTGGGTGAGTGGACAAGCATGTGCTCTCTGAGAATAAGATGACAATGAAGACATGGGTTCACACCATGCTTACAGGTTACTTTACTTTGTTTACTATTAAAATCACAGCTCAGCTCGAGTCAAACATCAGTTCCAGCAGGTGTTCAGACAGGAGATCTGTGGCTCTGTGGTAAGAGCGCTGCCCCACGGCTTCAGGGGTTGCTGGTATTGGTCCCAGCCAGAACTCTGCGATATGTGTGAATGGTGAGTGAGTGTGAGGCGCGCCTGAAGAAGGGGGGATACCAGTTCGGTCTCCCCCTGGAGCTTCCGGAGCCGTGTCCAGCAGGGGTTATACTTTACAGCCTGCCAAAAAATTTAAAATGAACTGTATAAAAATTCTGGACCTTCGTCCCTTCCCCACCCGTTTCGGTTACCATCATTTACTTTCTAGAGGAGTGACCCTCCACAAAGCAAATGATGGTAACCGACATGTGGAACACACACACACACACAATCACACACATGATCTACATCACCTGTGCAGCAGCAGATGATCATCATCAGTACAGTCAGTGTCTGTCCACAAGTCTCTGCTTCTGTTCAACAGGCTTACAGTCCAAAACACGTCACTGATCCTGTAGAGTCGACACACAAATACACACATTATCACACACACTGAATATCTGAGCTAATAATAGACAAATATGCAAATATTACATTTGTATTGAATATTGCGCCCTCATGTGGAGATTATTCTGAATTACGCCTTTGCAAATGATCAATATAATGTATTTAAAATATTCGCCCTCTTGTGGTGATGTTTGTGAACTGCACTGCTGCCGCTCTAAAATAATGAAAGTTTCAGCCTCGTGTGGAGAATTTCTGAATTACACCTTTGCAAATTTTCAATCTACTGACTTTAAAATATTCGCCCTCCTGTGGTGATTTTGGTGAGTTACACCACTGCAAATGTAATTGAATGAATTTAAACATGTCGCCCTCCTGTGGAGATATTTCTGAATTACACTATTGCAGATCTGTTGATTTGAATGATTGTGGTGATTTTTCTGAATTTCAGCACAGCGCGGCTTCTCTTAATCGGACACTCCAGTCATTTTGGTCTCACCTGTTAATTTCCCTCCTAACAAAATGTGTGTGTGTGTGTGTGTGTGTGTGTGTGTGTGTGTGTGTTTAACCACTTTTCACCTTTTAAAGCATAAACTCAAACATCTGATCATTCATGAGGGATTATTTTAGCTCTTTTTATATAATGAAATTTACAAATTATTAATTAACATTGTAAAAATATCAAACCAATATAAATGTAACATTAAACAATTCCCAAAAGCTGATGACTACAGACTTGACGTCAAATATTGATAAATTAAATAAACACACATTTAATGTATTTGACAAGCTTTTGTATCGGGGATGCAGAATGTTTTCATTGCTTACAGTTTTAATTGACACAGACAATAATAATCATTTGACCAACAGAAATATGATCATAAATGCCTCATAAAGATGACTGGCTGCTTTTTAAAAGATCACATATTGTATTAAGCCATTCATCAAGTTTTGAATTAAGTATTTCTGTTGCTGTATAAAAACAACGAGTGGATAAAAAAAATCTTGTGAACTCTGCAAGAGGCAGATTTGATCAGTCTTTCTCCAATAGTTTCTGGATGCAGACTTAGATTTGTGAGCTGAAACTGCATATCAGACCTACAATGTCAGACACGATGCACTCAATGGAGCTAGTGACGTCACTGTAAAGGGTGGGGTTAGGTGTGCGCATTGAAGCGCAGTTTCCATCTGCTCCACAAGGCGGCATCAGCGAGCTGCTCTTTTAGCCTGAACACCTTTGACAACAGCGCCACAGATCATCACAGGTACACCGTTTTACTGGCGTCAAGTCCAGCAGATGACAGCTCAGTGACAGACTCATAATGTCAGTCAACAGCACATATTACAGCCCGACAGTGAAGAAAAGCGACACAAAGTGCAGAAATGGAGAGTAACGCGACTCACCTGTAAGTGACTTTGTTTCGGTGGGTTTGTTTGTAGTGATGTTGCTGTAGTGTTTGTGTTCAGGCATTGCTCTCTCTCCTCCTCTGCAGCAGTGAAGATACACACGTGTGTCTGTTGTGTTTCTGCTGCACATCTTTCCTCTTTCTGACGCTCCTCCACACACTCCTCCACATCCAGGCGGATTCACAGCTCCAGTAAAGGTATTTATGAGCTCATATTTCCAGTAGAGAGTCCAGAAAGTGTGTTTGTTGTGCTGCTGCTCTGTCGCGTGTATGTTTGGGGAGGGACTTTCTCTAGAAAGCATCTGATTGGCCAGATTTGGTGTAGAGTCCTCAATACAGTATGAGGAGACTTTAGAGGTAAATGATGATATTTACAGTGTTTAATTGTGTTTAGTGACATTTATAGACCCAAAAGCAGCTGTAAGATCATCTGAAATATGGTTGATGTGTTTGATTGGAGAAAAAGCAGGTTTTACACATTTTGAACAATGAAATATGATAATATATTAGCATATGATGTAGTTTTAATGAATATTGAATAATTTTACACTTGATATTAATTATTTGTATTTATTTACTTTTTTTTCAAAATGTGTAAATGTGGTCATCCTTACACTGGAGAAAGAAGTGTGTGTTTGTGTGTGTGCTGATGGTGTAGTGGTCAGAGCACACAGCCTGAGATGTGAATTTCTCACAGCATACCTGGGTTCAAATCCAGATCCTGTTACTGCTCTTTACTGCTGATCTAAATACAAACAACAAAAGTGTTTTTCCTCAATCCTGCACACTGATTGCTTTCATTTCAGCTGTTCTTTTGTTGTGATCTGCACAGCGAAGTGAGTTTCGTATCCAAGTACCTTCAGCCTTCTGTATGGCAGTCTGACACTCATCCACTGAGCTACTGAACTTGACGTCTGACAATAGTCTTTTTGTGAGCCAAATTACAAACAAATTTATCTCAAATCACAGTTAAAATTAGGAAATAGATAAAGCTCCATTTAAACATTGATCTCACCATCCAGACTCTGTGGCTCAGGTCATAAATTGTTGAACTTTAATCAAAGAGACCCGGGTTCAAATCTCACTATGGCTAATGTCCAGTTTGAGCTTATTATATTCACCATCAGTGTCCTGCCATGATGATGAAGCTGATGCTGAATATAATGAGCTCAAGCAGGATGATGATGTGAAACTCGTGATGATTGAGTGAATAAACATAAGTTCTCTGAGGAAGAGACTCATAAAGACAAGAGTTCACATCTGACTTGTATCTAGCAAGAGTGGGATTTGATCCTTCACACTTCTGTACAATAGTTGAACGCTCATCCTTTGAACCACAGAGCTTGACTCTTGGCAATTGTTGTTTTGTGAACCAAATTTCAAAGAAATTTGTGTCAAACCTTGGTCATGACGGAGTTAGTGATAAAGCCCAATTTAGAAACCCCCTCCAACATCTAGACTCGGTGGCTCAGGTCATAAAGTGTTGGTCTTTACTCAAGAAGACCCGGGTTCAATCCTCGCTAAGGGTGATGTTCAACTCATTATACAGAACACAAGTTCTCTGAGGAAGAGACTCATAAAGACAAGGGATCACATCTGACTTGTATCTTGTTTTATTGAATCAGCTCACACACAGGTCAGCAACCAAACATCAGTTCCAGCAGGTGTTCAGACAGGAGATCTGTGGCTCTGTGGTAAGAGCGCTGCCCCACGGCTTCAGGGGTTGCTGGTATCGGTCCCAGCCAGAACTCTGCGATATGTGTGAATGGTGAGTGAGTGTGAGGCGCGCCTGAAGAAGGGGGGATACCAGTTCGGTCTCCCCCTGGAGCTTCCGGAGCCGTGTCCAGCAGGGGTTATACTTTACAGCCTGCCAAAAAATTTAAAATGAACTGTATAAAAATTCTGGACCTTTGTCCCTTCCCCACCCGTTTCGGTTACCATCATTTACTTTCTAGAGGAGTGACCCTCCACAAAGCAAATGATGGTAACCGACATGTGGAACACGCACACACACAATCATACATGATCTACATCACCTGAGCAGCAGCAGATGATCATCATCAGTACAGTCAGTGTCTGTCCACACGTCTCTGCTTCTGTTCAACAGGCTTACAGTCCACAACACGTCACTTATCCTGTAGAGTCGACACACAAATACACACATTATTACACACTGAATATCTGAGCTAATAATAGACAAATATACAAATATTACATTTGTGTTGAATATTGCGCCCTCATGTGGAGATTATTCTGAATTACGCCTTTGCAAATTTTTATATAATGTATTTAAAATATTCGCCCTCTTGTGGTGATGTTTGTGAACTGCACTGCTGCCGCTCTAAAATAATGAAAGTTTCAGCCTCGTGTGGAGAATTTCTGAATTACACCTTTGCAAATCTTCAATATAATTAATGTAAAATATTCGCCCTCCTGTGGTGATTTTGGTGAATTACACAACTGCAAATCTAATTGAATGACTTTAAACATGTCGCCATCCTGTGGTGATTTTTCTGAATTTCAGCAAAGCATTGAGATTTCAGCTTCCTGTGGTGCAGCTGTAGTTATCTATTTAAATGTATTTAAGCTGTAGTTATCTATTTAAATGTATTTATCTATTTAAATGTATTTAAAATATTCGCCCTCGTGTGGTGATGTTTGTGAAGATTTCAGCTTCCTGTGGTGCAGCTGTAGTTATCTGTATTTTCATCCACTGATGGTGACAACCATAAATATCTTATTGTGTAAAAGAAAGCAGGAAGTGTTGAGGTGTCTGCGGTCTTAAAAGTGTTAAAATTCTCTTATCTTACAAAAGCTAAATGTTAGTCCTTAAAGTCTTAAATCTCTTATTAACAGCTCTTAATTTTTCCTTGTTCCTGTATAGCTCCCCAATCTGGCCATTAACACCCAGACAATCACCAACAATCTCAATACAACGCTAAACTTTTTATTTAAAAATAGCATTTAATTACTTTCCCTACAGCAACATCTGCTTAAAAGTTCTTCATTTATTTCTGATGATACTGACCTCACCTAGATTTGTATTATTAAATTATTATTATGATTGTTTTATTAAATGTTTTACATTATAATCGTTTTTGATAGGGCAAGTGAAAATCTTTTCCAACTGGGATATTCAAATAAAATCCTCAGCATTTAGCCCTGTATAAGTCTAACATTTCATTCATAATGGTCATTAAAATGTCTTAAATTTGACTTGGTGAAACCTGCAGGAACCCTGATTGAATCTTTGGAATGATTTTGATCAGTGAATGAAGTTAAACATGACCTCATTTAGTGATGTGTTCAGTCGGAGAGTCTCTGTTTCTGTCAAATCTCTGTTTTCAGGATCTACCAAGCCAGATCAGAGGTCATGGAGAGCTTTTGAGCAGAACTGGATTCCTGATGGATTGGAAACAACTGTTTCCTGAGTTATTTACCGTTTTATGTGTTAATTCTGTTTAAAGTCATTTTCTTTGTGTGCAGGAGAGACTTTCTGTGTAGCAGCAGCTGCCAGTCTGGACGTAGATTACACCAGTATTCAACCAGTTTCTGATTAGACGGCTGAGAGTACAAGAAACAGCCTTGAGGATGAAACAGGTCGTTCCCTGTAGAGCGGCACGGTATTGGAAATATATCACAATGTGATGTTTAGTTTTCTGTGATTTATACTGTGATAAGAGTACAATTTCACCAGATGACTTGAACGGCTCTGTGTGTACAGAATTGATCATTTTAGATTGATTGGGATGATTCTGTAGATTTATTATGCACACTATAATTGCTGTGTTTTTGTTATTGTAAGGCAGCGAGATCGGCCAGCAAACTCTATGCGAGTGTCACAGAACGGCAAACTATCTTCAGTAAATTCTCTTAATCTTACTGAGTCTCCAGCTCAGAGGCTTCTCTTAATCGGACACACCAGTCGTTTTGGTCTCACCTGTTAATTTCCCTCCTCACAACGTGTGTGTGTGTGTGTGTGTGTGTGTGTGTGTGTGTGTGTGTGTGTGTGTGTGTGTGTGTGTGTTTAACCACTTTTCACCTTTTAAAGCTTAAACTCAAACATCTGATCATTCATAAGGGATTATTTTAGCTCTTTTTATACAGAAATTCAGGACAAATTATTGATTAACAATGTGGAAATATCAAACCAATATAAATGTAACATAAAACAATTCCCAAAAGCTGATGACTACAGACTTGACATCAAATATCAATAAATGAAGTGCAAAACATAAATATTGAACTTTTTAGCTCGTGACTTTCTCACTATGATGTTCTTCACTCCAGATCGTCTTTTAGCCTGTATGTAATTAATGCACCTCTCATCAATAAACACATTTAATATATTTGACGAGCTTTTATATTGGGGATGCAGAATGTTTTCATTGCTTACAGATTTAATTGACCAACAGAAATATGATCATAAATGCCTTATAAAGATGACTGGCTGCTTTTTAAATGTTTATATATTGTAGTAAGCCATTAATCAAGTTTAGAATTATAAGTATTTTTGTTGCTGTATGAAAACAACCAGTGGATGAAAAAAATCTTCTGAACTCAGCAAGAGGCATTAAAGCGCAGTTTCCATCCGCTCCACTAGGCGGCATCAACGAGCTGCTCTTAGCCTGAACACCTTTGACAACAGCGCCACAGATCATCACAGGTACACCGTTTTACTGGCGTCAAGTTGAGCTCCAGCAGATGACAGCTCAGTGACAGACTCATAATGTCAGTCAACAGCACATATTACAGCCCGACAGTGAAGAAAAGCGACACAAAGTGCAGAAATGGAGAGTAACGCGACTCACCTGTAAGTGACTTTGTTTCGGTGGGTTTGTTTGTAGTGATGTTGCTGTAGTGTTTGTGTTCAGGCATTGCTCTCTCTCCTCCTCTGCAGCAGTGAAGATACACACGTGTGTCTGTTGTGTTTCTGCTGCACATCTTTCCTCTTTCTGACGCTCCTCCACACACTCCTCCACATCCAGGCGGATTCACAGCTCCAGTAAAGGTATTTATGAGCTCATATTTCCAGTAGAGAGTCCAGAAAGTGTGTTTGTTGTGCTGCTGCTCTGTCGCGTGTATGTTGGGGGAGGGACTTTCTGTAGAAAGCATCTGATTGGCCAGATTTGGTGTAGAGTGCTCAATACAGTATGAGGAGACTTTAGAGGTAAATGATGATATTTACAGTGTTTAATTGTGTTTAGTGACATTTATAGACCCAAAAGCAGCTGTAAGATCATCTGAAATATGGTTGATGTGTTTGATTGGAGAATAAGCAGGTTTTACACATTTTGAACAATGAAATATGATAATATATCAGCATATGATGTAGTTTGAATGAATATTGAATAATTTTACACTTGATATTAATTATTTGTATTTATTTACTTTTTTTTTCAAAATGTGTAAATGTGGTCATCCTTACACTGTAGAAAGAAGTGTGTGTTTGTGTGTGTGTGCTGATGGTGTAGTGGTCAGAGCACACAGCCTGAGATGTGAAGTTCTCACAGCATACCTGGGTTCAAATCCAGATCCTGTTACTGCTCTTTACTGCTGATCTAAATACAAAAATACTAAAGTGTTTTTCCTCAATCCTGCACTGATTACTCTCCTTTTAGCAGTTTGTTTGCTGTGATCTGCACAGCAAAGTGAGTTTCGTACCCAAGTACCTTCAGTCTTCTGTACGGCAGTCTAACACTCATCCACTAAGCTACTGGACTTGCCTGACAGCAGTAGTCTTTTTGTGAGCCAAATTACAAACAAACTTATCTCAAATCACAGCTAGAATTAGGAAATAGATAAAGCTCCATTTAAACATTCATCTCTCTATCCAGACTCTGTGGCTCAGGTCATAAAGTGTTGAACTTTAATCAAAGAGACCTGGGTTCAAATCTCACTATGGCTAATGTCCAGCTTGAGCTTATTATATTCACCATCAGTGTCCTGCCCTGATGATGGAAGCTGATGCTGAATATAATGAGCTCAAGCTGGATGATGATGTGAAACTCGTGATGATTGAGTGAATAAACACAAGTTCTCTGAGGAAGAGACTCATAAAGACAAGAGTTCACATCTGACTTGTTCTAGCAAGAGTGGGATTTGATCCTTCGCACTTCTGTATGATAGTTGAACGCTCTTCCTTTGAACCACAGAGCTTGATTTTTGGAAATGGTTGTTTTGTGAGCCAAATTACAAAGAAATTTGTGTCAAACCTTGGTCATGATGGAGTTAGTGATAAAGCCCCATTCAGATATTTCCTCCAACATCAGACTTGGTGGCTCAGGTCATAAAGTGTTGGGCTTTAATCAAGAAGACCCGGGTTCAATCCTCGCTATGGGTAATGTTCAACACAAGATCTCTGAGGAAGAGACTTATAGAGACAAAGGATCAGATCTGACTTTTATCTTGTTTTATTGAATCAGCTCACACACAGGTCAGCAGTCAAACATCAGTTCCAGCAGGTGTTCAGACAGGAGATCTGTGGCTCTGTGGTAAGAGCGCTGCCCCACGGCTTCAGGGGTTGCTGGTATCGGTCCCAGCCAGAACTCTGCGATATGTGTGAATGGTGAGTGAGTGTGAGGCGCGCCTGAAGAAGGGGGGATACCAGTTCGGTCTCCCCCTGGAGCTTCCGGAGCCGTGTCCAGCAGGGGTTATACTTTACAGCCTGCCAAAAAATTTAAAATGAACTGTATAAAAATTCTGGACCTTCGTCCCTTCCCCACCCTTTTCGGTTACCATCATTTACTTTCTAGAGGAGTGACCCTCCACAAAGCAAATGATGGTAACCGACATGTGAAACACACACACACAATCACACACATGATCTACATCACCTGTGCAGCAGCAGATGATCATCATCAGTACAGTCAGTGTCTGTCCACACGTCTCTGCTTCTGTTCAACAGGCTTACAGTCCACAACACGTCACTGATCCTGTAGAGCAGACAAACAAATACACACATTATTACACACTGAATATCTGAGCTAATAATAGACAAATATACAAATATTACATTTGTATTGAATATTGCGCCCTCATGTGGAGATTATTCTGAATTACGCCTTTGCAATTTTTTTATATAATGTATTTAAAATATTCGCCCTCTTGTGGTGATGTTTGTGAACTGCACTGCTGCCGCTCTAAAATAATGAAAGTTTCAGCCTCGTGTGGAGAATTTCTGAATTACACCTTTGCAAATCTTCAATATAATTAATGTAAAATATTCGCCCTCCTGTAGTGATTTTGGTGAATTACACAACTGCAAATCTAATTGAATGACTTTAAACGTATCGCCATCCTGTGGTGATTTTTTTTAATTTCAGCAAAGCATTGAGATTTCAGCTTCCTGTGGTGCAGCTGTAGTTATCTGTATTTTCATCCACTGATGGTGACAACCATAAATATATTATTGTGTAAAAGAAAGCAGGAAGTGTTGAGGTGTCATCGGTCTTAAAAGTGTTAAAATTCTCTTATCTTACAAAAGCTAAATGTTAGTCCTTAAAAAGTCTTAAATCTACTGAAATCTTGTGTTATAGGTCTTAAATCTCTTATTAACAGCTCTTAATTTTGCCTTGTTCCTGTATAGCTCCCCAATCTGGCCATTAACACCCAGACAATCACCAACAATCTCAATACAACGCTAAACTTTTTATTTAAAAATAGCTTTTAATTACTTTCCCTACAGCAACATCTGCTTAAGCGATCTCCATTTATTGCTGAGGATACTGACCTGACAGAGATTTGTATTATTAAATTATTATTATGATTGTTTTATTAAATGTTTTACATTATAATCGTTTTTGATAGGGCAAGTGAAAATGTTTTCCAACTGGGATATTCAAATAAAATCCTTAACATTTAGCCGTGTATAAGTCTACAATTTCATTCATAATGGTCATAAAAATGTCTTAAATTTGACTTGGTGAAACCTGCAGGAACCCTGATTTAATCTTTGGCATGATTTTGATCAGTGAATGAAGTTAAACATGACCTCATTTAGTGATGTGTTCAGTCGGAGAGTCTCTGTTTCTGTCAAATCTCTGTTTTCAGGATCTACCAAGCCAGGTCAGAGGACATGGAGAGCTCTTGAGCAGAACTGGATTCCTGATGCAGGGCTCAACAATAAGGACTGCCCGGGGGCCCAGGGCCAGTGTGAGAGACGCTTGGGACAGTAGACTGGATCATTACTGGCCCGATTGGGACAGTGCTGCCTTGTCACTAACATTTAATTTGTCTGTGACTATTTGTCAACTGTGTGCATTTTAGGTTTGTGCTTTTAAGTCTTTAAACGCTACCTTCTCTGTGATGTCGTAAACACCATATTGCTTTCCGGTTCCTCTTATCTGATTGATTTGACCATGCTATTTATTTTTTTGTAACCTGGTAACCAGTACAGCGTAGAAACAGCAACATGGCGGCAACATCAAATAATAAGGTTAAACGAAAATGTCTGTTTCTAACGTCTTGGAAGTAGACATTTACGTGGGAACAACACGACAAAATAAAAATGAAGTGATGTTATGCATAGTTTGCCGTCAGTTTGACAAGTCAGCCACCTTTTGTTAAATAATTTCAAACCGCAATAAAATACCTCCACATTAAGCTATTAACTTCTCTTTTTTTGGTGGGGCCAGTGAAAATTTTGGCAGGGCAAGTAAAAATCTGAACCACTTGCCCGATCGGACCAGTAGAAAAAATCCTTAGCGTTGAACCCTGTGATGGATTGGAAACAACTGTTTCCTGAGTTATTTACCGTTTTCTGTGTTAATTCTGTTTAAAGTCATTTTCTTTGTGTGCAGGAGAGACTTTCTGTGTAGCAGCAGCTGCCAGTCTGGATGTAGATTACACCAGTATTCAACCAGTTTCCGATTAGACGGCTGAGAGTACAAGAAACAGCCTTGAGGATGAAACAGGTCGTTCCCTGTAGAGCGGCACGGTATTGTAAATATGTCACAATGTGATGTTTAGTTTTCTGTGATTTATACTGTGATAAGAGTACAATTTCACCAGATGACTTGAACGGCTCTGTGTGTACAGAATTGATCATTTTAGATTGATTGGGATGATTCTGTAGATTTATTATGCACAGTATAATTGCTGTGTTTTTGTTATTGTAAGGCATCGATATCGGCCAGCAAACTCTATGCGAGTGTCACAGAACGGCAAACTATCTTCAGTAAATTCTCTTAATCTTACTGAGTCTCCAGCTCGGACGCTTCTCTTAATCGGACACACCAGTCGTTTTGGTCTCACCTGTTAATTTCCCTCCTCACAACGTGTGTGTGTGTGTGTGTGTGTGTGTGTGTGTTTAATCACTTTTTACCTTTTAAAGCTTAAACTCAAACATCTGAACATTCATAAGGGATTATTTTAGCTCTTTTTATACAGAAACTCAGGACAAATTATTGATTAACAATGTGGAAACATCAAACCAATATAAATGTAACATTAAATATTTCCCAAAAGCTGATGACTACATACTTGACATCAAATATCGATAAATGAAGTGCAAAACATAAATATTGAACTTTTTAGCTTGTGACTTTCTCATTATGCTGTTATTCACTCCAGATGGTCTTTTAGCCTGTATGTAATTAATGCACCTCTCATCAATAAACACATTTAATTTATTTGACGAGCTTTTATATTGGGGATGCAGAATGTTTTCATTGCTTACAGATTTAATTGACCAACAGAAATATGATCATAAATGCCTTATAAAGATGACTGGCTGCTTTTTAAATGTTTATATATTGTAGTAAGCCATTAATCAAGTTTAGAATTATAAGTATTTTTGTTGCTGTATGAAAACAACGAGTGGATGAAAAAAATCTTCTGAACTCAGCAAGAGGCATTAAAGCGCAGTTTCCATCTGCTCCACTAGGAGGCATCAGCGAGCTGCTCTTTTAGCCTGAACACCTTTGACAACAGCGCCACAGATCATCACAGGTACACCGTTTTACTGGCGTCAAGTCCAGCAGATGACAGCTCAGTGACAGACTCATAATGTCAGTCAACAGCACATATTACAGCCCGACAGTGAAGAAAAGCGGCACAAAGTGCAGAAATGGAGAGTAACGCGACTCACCTGTAAGTGACTTTGTTTCGGTGGGTTTGTTTGTAGTGATGTTGCTGTAGTGTTTGTGTTCAGGCATTGCTCTCTCTCCTCCTCTGCAGCAGTGAAGATACACACGTGTGTCTGTTGTGTTTCTGCTGCACATCTTTCCTCTTTCTGACGCTCCTCCACATCCAGGCGGATTCACAGCTCCAGTAAAGGTATTTATGAGCTCATATTTCCAGTAGAGAGTCCAGAAAGTGTGTTTGTTGTGCTGCTGCTCTGTCGCGTGTATGTTTGGGGAGGGACTTTCTGTAGGAAGCATCTGATTGGCCAGATTTGGTGTAGAGTCCTCAATACAGTATGAGGAGACTTTAGAGGTAAATGATGATATTTACAGTGTTTAATTGTGTTTAGTGACATTTAAAGCCCCACAAGCAGCTGTAAGATCATCTGAAATATGGTTGATGTGTTTGATTGGAGAATAAGCAGGTTTTTCACATTTTGAACAATGAAATATAATAATATATCAGCATATGATGTAGTTTGAATGAATATTGAATAATTTTACATTTGTTATTAATTATTTGTATTTATTTACTTTTTTTTCAAAATGTGTAAATGTGGTCATCCTTACATTGGAGAAAGAAGTGTGTTACTGTGTGTGTGCTGATGGTGTAGTGGTCAGAGCACACAGCCTGAGATGTGAATTTCTCACAGCATATCTGGGTTCAAATTCAGACCCTGTTACTGCTCTTTACTGCTGATCTAAATACAAAAACAATAAAGAGTTTCTCCTCAGTTACTTTCATTTCAGCTGTTCTTTTGTTGTGATCTGCACAGCGGGTTTCGTATCCAAGTACCTTCAGTCTTCTGTATGGCCGTCTAACACTCATCCACTGAGCTACTGGACTTCACGTCTGACAGTAGTCTTTTTGTGAGCCAAATTACAAACAAATTTATCTCAGATCACGGTTAGAATTAGGAAATAGATAAAGCTCCATTTAAACATTCACTTAGCCATCCAGACTCTGTGGCTCAGGTCATAAATTGTTGAACTTTAATCAAAGAGACCCGGGTTCAAACCTTACTATGGCTAATGTCCAGCTTGAGCTTATTATATTCACCATCAGTGTCCTGCCCTGATGATGAAGCTGATGCTGAATATAATGAGCTCAAGCTGGATGAAGGACGCTGATGTGAAACTCGTGATGATTGAGTGAATAAACACAAGTTCTCTGAGGAAGAGACTCATAAAGACAAGAGTCCAAATCTGACTTGTTCTAGCAAGAGTGGGATTCGATATTTCACACTTCTGTACAATAGTTGAACGCTCACCCACTGAACCACAGAGCTTGACTTTAGGCAATTGTTGTTTTATGAACCAAATTACAAAGAAACATGTGTCAAACCTTGGTCATGATGGAGTTAGTGATAAAGCTCCATTCAGATATCTCCTCCAACAGCTAGACTCGGTGGCTCAGGTCATAAAGTGTTGAACTATAATCAAGAAGACCCGGGTTCAATCCTTGCTAAGGGTATTGTTCAACTCATTATACAGAACACAAGTTCTCTGAGGAAGAGACTCATAAAGACAAGGGTTCACATCTGACTTGTATCTTGTTTTATTGAATCAGCTCACACACAGGTCAGCAGCCAAACATCAGTTCCAGCAGGTGTTCAGACAGGAGATCTGTGGCTCTGTGGTAAGAGCGCTGCCCCACGGCTTCAGGGGTTGCTGGTAACGGTCCCAGCCAGAACTCTGCGATATGTGTGAATGGTGAGTGAGTGTGAGGCGCGCCTGAAGAAGGGGGGATACCAGTTCGGTCTCCCCCTGGAGCTTCCGGAGCCGTGTCCAGCAGGGGTTATACTTTACAGCCTGCCAAAAAATTTAAAATGAACTGTATAAAAATTCTAGACCTTCGTCCCTTCCCCACCCGTTTCGGTTACCATCATTTACTTTCTAGAGGAGTGACCCTCCACAAAGCAAATGATGGTAACCGACATGTGGAACACGCACACACACAATCATACATGATCTACATCACCTGAGCAGCAGCAGATGATCATCATCAGTACAGTCAGTGTCTGTCCACACGTCTCTGCTTCTGTTCAACAGGCTTACAGTCCACAACACTTCACTGATCCTGTAGAGCAGACAAACAAATACACACATTATTACACACTGAATATCTGAGCTAATAATAGACAAATATGCAAATATTACATTTGTATTGAATATTGCGCCCTCATGTGGAGATTATTCTGAATTACGCCTTTGCGAATTTTTAATATAATGTATTTAAAATATTCGCCCTCTTGTGGTGATGTTTGTGAACTGCACTGCTGCCGCTCTAAAATAATGAAAGTTTCAGCCTCGTGTGGAGAATTTCTGAATTACACCTTTGCAAATCTTCAACATAATAAATTTAGAATATTCGCCCTCCGGTGGTGATTTTGGTGAATTACACAACTGCAAATCTAATTGAATGACTTTAAACATGTCGCCCTCCTGTGGAGATATTTCTGAATTACACTATTGCAGATCTGTTGATTTGAATGATTGTGGGGATTTTTCTGAATTTCAGCAAAGCATTGAGATTTCAGCTTCCTGTGGTGCAGCTGTAGTTTTCTGTATGTTCATCCACTGATGTTGACAACTATAAAGAAAAGCTTTTCTGCAGTGCAGCTCTACATGACAACAGATGGTAAAATGAATGATCAAAAAAGGCGAGTGAATAAAAATGTCTTCAGTCTTGCAACGCAAAGCGCAAAGTAACTCTGCCACCACTGCTTTACTTCTGTTATTAACCCTTTCACTGCTGAGTTTTAAAGGTTCTATCTGGAAACGGGAGTCCGGTTTTTTAGGCGACCATTTTTTTAGAACGTTCACCGTTAATGTTCCCGTGGCGACGCCTCATGTTTGTCACATGACACACCACAGCCACAATAGCTCTGTATGACAGATCTAGCTCTTTTATTCATTATTACTTTTATTTCAACATATTCACACACTTGCTCATCGTGTCATTAACTACCTGATAATCCAATTTACATAAACGTGTAAGTGATTGTGATCTATAACGTCAGATGGGCGTCGCCATGTTTACTTGCGGCCGCGCGTTTGACTCATTGCTAAAGCAGAATACGCAGGATTGAGCACGTAAATTCACCAGTTACTCCCCAAATACATGCAGGTAAGTGGCTGGTAAACTTAGAGAAGAGTAGATTCAACTTTATAGTTACTTTCACCATGTGTATCTGGTATGAATAAAACACACCGGCAAATTATATTTGAATGGATTTTGAGACTTCCTTGTGTGTTTTACAAACTCTAAATCTCTTGTTTTACTAGTACTTACGTCTATTTACATGTCTAAGACATAAAATAAGCATTAGGCGATTAAAAAGCTGCATAATTGTGATAATATGACACGTCTTTCTCTGCTCAGCGCCAGCCAACGTGCCAAAGCTCAGTTTGATTTTTTAAGTTGCCGCTCTAAGGGTTAACAAGCTAATGCTAACTTGTTATACTTGTCAAGCTGGATAACTAGTAAAATATCAGCAGCAGGGACTTCATGCGTATTATTTCACCATTTTCTCCTGATATTTACAGCAGAATCAACTCTTTTTTTGATCAGTGTCTGAAACGGGTTGCTAAAAAATCCAGTCTATATGAACCCCTCTCATATCACAGTCTACTCTGCTCTGATTGGTCAGAAGATTCTACTCTGCTTTGACTGGTTAGATGGCTTTATTTTGTTGTGCTCTGATTGGTCAGAAGGCTCTACTTTACTCTGATTGGTCGGAAGGCTCTACTCTGTTCTGCTCTGATTGGTCAGAAGGCTCAACTTTACAGTAATTGGTAATATGGCAAAACTCTACTCTGATTGTTATTATTAATATTATTATTATTATTATTTATAATAATAAATAAACACCAAATATTACAAAATTTAATGTAAAAATAAATCCAATTTTACTTATGAAAAAATAAAACATTTACAAAGTTTTAAGGTAAATAAAATACTAAAACATATTGCAATATTATGAATTAAACTAATAACAATATTATATTTTTTGTTGTCACTTTATCAAATATTTATACTATAAATAAAAATGGTGGGATACTATACATGTAAATAAATATGATTTTATTTATAAATTAATATATAAATTATATACAATTAAATGATTAAAGTGCTTGTGTTATAGCTATAATTGTTTTGTTTTGTACTAAAATAAAAAAACAATATTTAAATGACATCTTACTATATTTATAAACCTCAAACTAATTTTATCTGGCTGCATAAAAACAAAAATAATAATATTTAGCAAATAATCAGCATGTTGAATCAGCTACTAAAATGTTGGTATCCTGACATTACCACCAAAAACAACTAGTGTAAACAGTAAGAGCGCTGACAACAATAATAACACAATGACAGAGAAGAAACGCCCACACACACATACACACACCTGCAGGACTGAGTTTGACCACCTCTGTATCAAATCAAGAGCTTCTTCTCACCAGTATCACAGCAAACATACACAAATACACACAATATGTAAACTTATACACACTCGTCTCGTGGCGCACCAACATATGCGCGTTCTCGTGTAGTGCACGACAGCTGTCAATCACTAGTGACGTGCGCTGATATGAATGCATGCGTGTTTACAGCGCGTTTTTTATGCAGATGCACGGAGGCACGGATGCGTCTAAAAGCCTGGCGTTAAAGAGTGTCCTACCGGAGCGGAACCGGGTGCTGAGCGGGACTTACCGTGTGTGTTGTGGCTCCCGTGTTTGGCTCCGGTGTGAGCGCGCGGCGGTACTGCGTCGCCATTGCTCTTCCTTCTTCCTTCACAGACTATGGCAAGCCGTTTTAACATTTACTACTTTGTTTTGACTATCCATAAATATATTTAGAGATATCTCTAATTATATTTTGACTAGTCATAATTATAATTCGACTAGTCAGAATGACAATTAGAGATATCTGCAATTACAATTGTACTAGCACGAAATCAGATTGGAGATATCTGCAAATATATTATGACTAGTCATATTCCTCCATTGACTTCCATTGAAAAATATTTAGAGATATCTTTAATTCGTCATATTTAGAGATATCTACAAATATATTTGAAGATATCTCTAACTAATTTACTACTAGTCGAATTACAATTGTAACGTTAGATATCTTGAATTGGATTTTTTTTTTTGACTAGTCAAAACTCATTAAAAGATATCTGCAATGTATTTAGAGATATCTCGTTTAAAGTTTTGACTAGGAGGATCATTCTTTGAAGATATCTGCATTGAGCTTTGTGACTAGGAAGAATATAATTGTAGATATCTTTAATTAACATTGTGACTAGTCAAAACTCTTTTGTAGATATCTGTATTGCATATTCAAATCACCTGCTTTGCTTAACCCCGCCTAAATTATTACGCATTTGGTATTCGAGCGCGCCAATAGGCCTTTTTCACACTTCCTGGTTCCGGTGTTAGCGAAATTTGTTTGACAGGGTTATGAGTTAAGTTTTTCTTAGTATTTAGCCATAAAATTGTATTATTGTGTGTGTATATCATATTATTTATGACAAATCATTCTGGTTTCGTTTCTCAAGCAGCCCGCATTACGTAATTAAGTTTCATTATTGCCAGCAGGTGGCGCTGTAGTGAAATAAATACATCACATGCAACATGTCAGGAAAAAGCACAGTCTGTGATCAATAGAAGAGTAAATAGATCATTTATATGTTTATATGTATATTAATAATGTTTTACATGTTAATTTTCATCATTAATTATTTTAAAAGTTGGCTATCGTTACTTGGAGCAAAATAAATAAAAAAACAGCAATACATCCCACTCAGGCATGAACATGTGAGATTAAAAGAGTCTAGACTTGATTATCCAGGAGTCAAAACACTTGTCAGACATTAAACTTTGCAGCAACATACATTTTAAAAACAATAGGGCAGTGTGTTAAATGACTGTGTCTGCATTTCAATTGGCATTTTTCAAGACGTCTGCAATATTTGATGCAAAATGAAAAAAAATATCATTTTCAAATGTTATATTTTAATGTTTAATCTTAAATAATTAATTAAACAAAATAATGTTATGCACAAACAATTTGATGTGTGCACAGTAAAGCAGATATTTTTTATTTTCAGTTATTTATTTGTAAATCGCCCTAAATGCATTTAGATTTTTCCCCATAACACTGTGGGATGTTTGTAGGGAAATTTGGCATGCATTTGTAAATGCATTCTGAGCCAATGATAGCTATAAGGATGAGATAATATGGTGAGTTAAATGTCATGCAAGTAATAATTGTACTACAATTTCGGCTTGTACCGTATACACACATCAAATTCATCTTGTGTATTACATTTTCAATTTAATTTAGCAGCTTTTAAAGCATTACAACTAGTGTTTAATTTCAATATTGAAACTGTGGTTGGTTTTTCAGTTCTGGGTTGCGGCTGGAACGGCATTCGCTGTGTAAAACATATGCTGGAATAGTTGGCGGTTTATTCCGCTGTGATGGTCTCTGAAATAGAGATTTAGCCGAAGGAAAATGAATGAATGAACTATGGTTGGGGACAAATGCAAAAAAAAATATTTATTTTAATTTTCCACTAAAACTTGCACGTCTTTGAAAATGCTAAATACATTCCCACACTGTAAAAAATGATATGATCAATTAGTCATGACAGCAAATGTTTACAGTTCACTGGAACTTAAGTTTATCATGTACTAACTTAATATTATAAGTTACACAAGCTGTTTTAAGTCAGTTTAACATAATATAAGTTTAATGGACTCAGTAATGATTCAGCTTTAAAAAATTAAAGCGACCAGGATTTTTTTACAGTGCAATAAACATTATAAAATTGCATTTTCTTTAGTGAACTACATTTCAAAACTAATTAATCCGTTTTTATATGCACCCATTTTGCATTACATTTTCAATAACATTTTGCAACTTATGAAGCATTACAATATTTACATTTAGTCATTTAGCAGATGCTTTTATCCAAAGCGACTTACAAATGAGGACAAGGAAGCAACTTACACAACTATAAGAGCAACAATGAATAAGTGCTGGAGGCAAGTTTCAGGTCTGTAAAGTCTAAGAAGCAAAGCATTAGTAATTATTATTTTTTTTTTTTTTTGTAGTACAGTTAGTGTTGGAGCCAGAGAAGCAAATGCAGATTAGGAAGTGAAGTGGAGACTAAATAGTTGAGTTTTTAGTGGTTTCTCGAAGACAGCGAGTGACTCTGCCGTTCTGATGCAGTTAGGGAGTTCATTCCCCCAACCGGGCAGATTGAATGCGAGTGTTCGGGAAAGTGATTTCTTCCCTCTTTGGGATGGAACCATGAAGCGACGTTCATTCACAGAACACAAGTTTCTGGAGGGCACATACATCTGCAGAAGTGAGAGCAGATAAGAAGGAGCAAAGCCAGAAGTCGCTTTGTAAGCAAACATCAGAGCTTTAAATTTGATGTGAGCAGCAACTGGCAGCCAGTGCAAACGGATGAGCAGCGGAGTGACATGTGCTCTTTTAGGTTCATTAAAGACCACTCGTGCTGCTGCGTTCTGAAGCAGCTGAAGAGGCTTGATAGAGTTAGCTGGGAGCCCGGCTAGTAGAGAGTTGCAATATTCCAGTCTGGAGAGAACAAGAGCTTGAACAAGGAGTTGAGCTGCATGTTCAGATAGGAAGGGTTGGATGTTTCTGATGTTGTAGAGTGCAAATCTGCACGATCGAGCAGTTCTAGAAATGTGGTCAGAGAAGTTTAGTTGGTCATCAATCGTTACTCCAAGGCTTTTCACTGTTTTGGATGCAGTAATGGTTGCCCCATCCATCTGGATTGAAAAGTTATGATGTAGAGTCAGGTTGGCAAAAACTACAGGCATTATGAACGTAATTTACATGTTGAAATGACAAATGTACATGATATACAGTTGAAGTCAGAATTATTACTCCCCCTGAATTATTAGACCCTTGTTTATTTTTTTCCACCAATTTCTGTTTAACGGAGGGGAGGTTTTTTCAACACATTTCTAAACATAATAGTTTTAATAACTAATTTCTACTAACAGATTTATTTTCTCTTTGCCATGATGACAGTAAATAATATTTGACTAGATATTTTTCAAGACACTTCCATACAGCTTAAAGTGACATTTAAAGGCTTAACTGGGTTAATTAGGTTGCTAGGCAGGTTAGGGTAATTAGGCAAGTTATTGTATAACGATGGTTTCTTCTGTAGACTATCGAGAAAAAATAGCTTTAAGGGGCTAATAATTTTGTCCTTAAAATGACTTTAAAAAAATTAAAAACTACTTTTGTTCTAGCCGAAATAAAACACATAAGAGTTTCTCCAGAAGAAAAAACATTATTAAACATACTGTGAAAATTTCCTTGCTCTGTTAAACATCATTTGGGAAATATTTAGAAAAAAAATCATTTTGCTTGTCACATCTCAAAATGATTTTCCCTACTTATTTGCTTCCATACAGATAATGTTCTGTTTGTTCTTAGGAGAAACCCGGAGTCACAGGATGAGCGAATAAAACAAAAGCACTATTATAACCGAAGGACACCCAGATTTATTTGAGCAAGAAATCAAGCCCAGAAGCACAAACCAAGACATGCCATGCTTAGATTGCTATTCAAACACAACCTAGTGCGCTTCACAGTCATTTTTATTCATCTAAACACAACATTTTAGAGGCAGCAGAAATAAAACACCACAAAAAATGACCAAATCAAAACTGCAGCATCACCACAAACCTGTAGAACGCTTAATACTGCATAAAAAAGCACAGATAAACAATATAAACGCAAAACAAAACGTGAAGACGATTTCATTTTCAATGCAACACACATTTAAAAAATACTAGCAGTGTATTTAAACCATTCCATTAGGGATTCTCTGGTATCGAAGATCGGTAGATAATCCCATTTTATGACTCAATCGGTACTCGCTTATCTTGCCGATCACATGAACCAATCGTAAGAGTTTAGTTTGCGCGTTTACAAGCAGATGATGCATTTTAACTTCTTATGCGTCAAAAATGCACACCAAAACTTTTCCTTCATTGAGGCATGTTGAATTACTCTTCCATCATTTGCAATGTTTCCAAATTGCATTGTCACCAAATGTACTTACTTATTTTCTGTAAAGCTGCTTCTGAACATGACTTGTCCACACTAACAGGTCATAACAGACATGTTTAAGCGATTATATGCAACATCCTTCATTTATTCTTTTAGGAAAGGAGCAAGCTCCACTTAAGTATCATACTTAAAGGGGAAAATGTGCTTAATGCAATGTTACAGTTATATAAACCTTGATGCATCAGAATCGGTACTCGATATCAGCTCCAAAAATCCTGATCGGAGCATCCCTAATATTAAATCGCATATATTACAGCATTCAAAGCCCTTTGTTAATGAATAGTATTTACTACAGTGACTTGATAAACTGTAATAAATACTGTAGTATACTTTAGTTTTTACTATAGTAAACTATGGTGTATTGTAGTATAATATACCCTATAATTGAAGGAAACTACAGTATTGGATCTTTTGTTTATAATACTATAGTTGTCGTGTTACAATAGCAACTATAAAATCACCGCAACAGATTAATTCAAGTTCTTTACTATGGAGCATTTCAGTGTGGTCATGTGATTGGCTCTTGATCATATCCTTCTTGTTTTCATACTATATCAGAACTGTAACAAAAGGCAATTCAATCATATTGTCATGCTAAAACAGCTATCATTAATTATTGATCAATATGTGGACCGTTTGGGACTTTCAGAAGCTATGGAAATTAAAAATGTACAACAGGAAATACATCAGGACCATTGTTATTGTTTACATTCCTCAAAATGGTATGGCTAAAAAACACTATAGTATTTTTAAATGTGTGCACTGAGGTGATGAAACATGTATGCTTAAAATTATTTAACATTTAGATCATAAAAATAGTAAAACTTTTAAAACGTATTGCATTTCCATTAAAAGTTTATTAAAGGGGACCTATTATGTCACTTTTTACAAGATGTAAAATAAGTCTCTGATATCTCTAGAGTTTGTAGTGAAGTTTCAGATCAAAATACCCCACAGATCATGTTTTATAACTCCTTGAAGCTGATCCTTTTAGGTTTTGATCCTAATTGTCGGGTTTTGGTGACTGTCGCTTTAAATGCAAATAAGATTGGGCTCTTTTTAAAAGAGGGCGGAGTTATGAATGCTTGTGTGTCAGCATAGTGGCAGATTCAAAACAAGACTAATGTCCTATGCTAATGAGGGAGAGAGCATACCTATAGTAGGCGGGGCTTTCCTCCTCTGATGACACCTACAATGGGAGAATGTCAATCAAAGTCTGATTATAAAAATAATAATAATACATTTTTTACCATTTGAAGCTGGTTATATTTGCACACCTTGTGTTTAAATGCCTTATAAAAATGTTTTTTTTTTTTTTTGCATAATAGGTCTCCTTTAAGCAAATTTTGCCACACGATGTTGATCCAAACAAAACCCCGCCCCCTTTTTGTAACTTCACTGATGTCACAAGACACGCCCTTTACTGCTGATTGGCTGCAAAACACCGTGGTCAAAAATGTTTTTCAAATATTGTTTAGCGTACCTGTAAAAGCTGACCAAGATTTACATACATTAAACACTGCATATTGCAAATACGTAAAAAAGATAAAAGATCTTCAAGTACAAAAAGAAAGATAAAAAGCAAAACTAGAGAAAAATCATCATACAAAAACCAGAGCCAGCTGCCCTGAAAAAAAATACTATAGTAACTTATACTAAATACTACAATGTTTTTGTACCATACTATAGTGCATTATATTGTATGTGTATGATGTGTATTATATAACAGTATCAAATATATATACACACACACACACACTGGCCATTTTATTAGGTACACCTGTCCAACTGCTCGTTAACGCAAATTTCTAATCAGCCAATCACATGGCAGCACTCAATGCATTTAGGCATGCAGACATGGTCAAGACAATCTACTGCGGTTCAAACCGAGCATCAGAATGGGGAGGAAAGGTGATTTAGGCGACTTGCCAGTACCATATTGAATCTATGCCACGAAGGATTAAGGCAGTTCTGAAAGAAAACGGGGTCCAACCCGGTACTAGCAAGGTGTACCTAATAAAGTGGCCAGTGAGCATAGATAATATATAACAACGTGAACTGATAAACTAGTTAATGTTGCAGTTTAGTCTACTTTAGTTTGTACTACAGTAATCTGTGGCGTATTGTAGTATAATACACCCTATAGCTGAAGAAAACCAGTGTCGGATCGTTTGTTTATATTACTGTAGTTGTTTTACTATAGCATGGCTACAACAGCTAAACTGGGTAACTGGTTTATATTTAGTCAGTCGTTGTATCACCATAGCATTTTTAAGAATTAGCACAACAGATTCATTCAACTACTTGACTGCAGCTTGGTTCAAAAACACTCTGTTATTTACTATAAATGACTGTATTGTTCATTAGGCTGAAGCGTGTGATGTTTGTGTTTAGATGGGAGCTGGAGCTGGAGCTCGTCCTGGCGTTTGCTGAGCGTTGACCTTCTGAGAGTGCCAGCGCGTCTCTTTATACACAAACCAGGCATTCCCGGCCCATATGATCAGATTCAAGAATCCAAACACCTGCAAGTCAAGTGTGCAGGTGGTTATCTATCATGTGCAGACTTTAGCTAATGCATAAGGAGCACAACGTCAACTAGATTGTAACGACAAACTTGTGAATTGGCTCGAGGAGTCGTTACTAATGTGTGAAATAGTAATATAATATAGGAGTTAGGGTTAAAATAAAGGAGTAAAGAAAGTAGGAAATAAACTAGCATGTTTTAATATTATGCTAGCATAAATTAGCATGCAGGAATGTTGTTGACATGTTTGACATCGCTAAAAAGATTTCACAGCACAAATGAACATGAAGCCTGAATGTTTTAGTACATGGCTAACATGTGTTAAGAGGTTGTTAGTATGATTTTAGGTAGCATATTGTAGCACATGGCACATTTTTACAGGATTAACATGTTGCTAGCATGTTTTCCAAAGTAGTTAAGATTTTAGCTTTAAAGTAGTTTGTTATTAGCATGCTTAATATGTTGCTGTAATGTTTCGAGCATAGCTAGCATATTGATAGTATTAGTTAAAATGTTAGCATGTTTTAGCATGTGTTAACATGTTTTATCATGTTTTAATATTAGCATGTTGTTGGATTGTTGCTAATTTTGTAAGTTTCTAACATGTTTTAACATTAACACAGCTCAGATGTTTTAGCACATGGCTAATATGTTTTAGCATGTTATTAGTATGATTAGAACGTAGCATGTTGTAGCACATGGCTCATTTTAACATGGTTAAAAAATTTCTTATCAACATGCTAAATATTTAGCTATGTTTCTAACATAGCTAGCACACTGTTAGCATTATGTAACACAGCTTTTAGCACATGACTAGTGTGTGTTAATGTGATTAGAATGTTGCTATTATGCTTCTAGCATAGTTTTATAGCATAGTTTCATAGTTTGCTAGCATGTCTAATCATGAATTAAACCTTTACTAGCATGCTTCTGACAAGTTTAAGCACACAGTTGACACATTTTAATGAATTAGCTGCTAGTATGTTCCTAACATGTTTGGCAAGCTTGTACATTTTGTTACCACATTGATTGCAATTGCATAAATTAGCAGGTTGCTAACACACGGCTAACATTATCATAACAATAACATGCCACTTTGTTTAACAGTGTTTTTGGTGGTGATAATCAACATGCGTATAACAAATATTGACAGAAAAGTAGTGATTGGTCAGTGTTCTCTCTTACCACAGATATATTGAGTGAGCGCATGCTGGCAAACTCTGTGACTTCACATCTCACACCTCTGTCCTTGCAGAGCGCTAAAGTGGATTCCATGCCAGCGGTACTGGTGGCGTCCTTCACCGTCTGCAGTCCTCTGGCCCATGCAGACGAACACACCAACCACAGGAACGCAAACACCGCTGTCAGCACAAAATCCTAGCACACAGAGGCAGTACTCTCGAGTTAAAGCAGTAGTTCACTTCCAGAATGAACATTTCCTGATCCTTTACTCATCCTTTGCAATCTTCATTCTGAAAGATATTAAGATTTTTGAGGAGAACATGCAGGATTTGTCTCTATATAGTGGACTTCTGGTGCTCTGTGGTTTGTGCTAAACAGATAACAGTTTCAGTGCAGCTTAAATGCCTCTAAATGATCCCAGCTGTGGAATAAGAGTCTTTTCTAGTGAACCAATCAGTCCAACCAGTTAAAAATAAATAAAATAGAAATATATATACTTCAATGTTTCCCACTGTACGGTATGTGGCATTTACCCTGTCAAAAATATATACAGGTATTTACAAACATGTACTTTAAATGACAAGAGGGTGAGTGAATCATCAGGAAATGTTCCCGAAACATCCTCCAATTGTATTAATTCTTTATACGGTTTAAACATTAGATGGATGGATGGATGGAGACACATAGATAGATAGATAGATAGATAGATAGATAGATAGATAGATAGATAGATAGATAGATAGATAGATAGATAGATAGATAGATAGATAGATAGATGGATGGATGGATGGATGGATGGATGGATGGATGGATGGATGGATGGATGGATGGATGGATGGATGGATGGATGGATGGATGGATGGATGGATGGATGGAGACACATAGATAGATAGATAGATAGATAGATAGATAGATAGATAGATAGATAGATAGATAGATAGATAGATAGATAGATAGATAGATAGATAGATAGATGGACAGACGGACGGACGGACGGACGGACACAAATAGATAGATGGATGGATGGATGGATGGATGGATGGATGGATGGATGGATAGATAGATAGATAGATAGATGGACAGACACAAATAGATAGATAGATAGATAGATAGATAGATGGACAGACACAAATAGATAGATAGATAGATAGATAGATAGATAGACAGACAGACAGACAGACAGACAGACAGACAGACAGACAGACAGACGGACGGACGGACGGACGGACGGACGGACAGACGGACACAAATAGATAGATGGATGGATGGATGGATGGATGGATGGATGGAACAATAGATAGACAGACAGACAGATGATACTGACAAACATCGGGCCGAAGTCTGAGTCTCTGTAGACGTGCATGTAGCCCAGATAGACGATGAGCGCCAGCATGGAGTAAAGGAAGGCCAGGACGGCGACGGCCACAAAAAACTCCACCGAGGACGAGGAGTCGCCCACCAGATGAGTGGCAGACACTGAGCGGTTGCAGAGGGTCCTGTTCTGCTCCACCAACAGCTCATGGTTTAACCTGAAAAATCAACACACCGACTTCACCTTATCTAGGATTACTTTGGTGATGTTAATCTTTCTATTCATCTTTAACATTAATCTTTGTTTTATTTGATTCTGTTTTGGTTCTATTTTGACCAACTATATTTTTAGTTATTATAAACTCTGAGATTAGTTTATATCATCAGTAGGACAATATAAAATGGTTAGGGAGCAGTGTTTAATTTGGTTGTATTGAAAAGTTGTTAAATTGAACATTTCATACAAGACAATATTTAATTTAATTAATTAAGAAATGTCTCATATCATTATAGTGTCATTATCAAATCTATATCATAAGCATTTTCATCAGATTTTTACGTATAAAGTGTGTGCCTGTGATTATTCGTGCATTTGTTGTTTTATATACATCATTTGACAAGAAAAAGTTTTACAATGAAAATAAAGTTTTTCCTTTCAGTAAATTCATATTATTTTTAGTTTTACTTCAAAAACATTTGAATATCTTGTATTTTATTTTACTTACAAACATGTATTCTAGTTGACCTCTTTTATGTTTCTGTATTATATATATATATATATATATATATATATATATATATATATATATATATATATATATATTTATTTATTTATTTATATATATATATATACATAAAAAAATTTTTTGTTTATTTTCAGTAGCCCCACACCTGAATGGGTAGGTGAAAGTGGCAGTGAGTGTTTCATTGCTGCCATCGCAGAAGACGGAGAGCACATTTCTGCCGGAAAATCCCCCACAGGTCCCGAACGCGAGCACAGCAGTGATCTGGAAACATGTGAACAGAATCATGAAAACAACAAAGCTTCATGCAAACCGGTCTTAGGTTTCCTACTTACAGCGGTATACATCTTTATCATTGCACTACCTACTTTTTAAATACATCATCTGCACAGTTTCTTTCACAATATTATACAGTATTATGTAAAGTATTTGTATAGTCTTTCTCAGATTGTGTGTATAGTCAACAATATATAGTATATGTCCAATTAAATTAAAGGTTGAGTATAATCCATATCACTTTTCTGAAAAATGATACTGTATATTGTATTTCATGATTCAGTTTTTTTTCTGTGTGTATTTATGGTTGTGAATTGCCATAGATATATACATTAGATGTCGTCTACCCTGTTGTTGTCTATTGGAAGGAATGCGTCAATAGAGCCGCCATTTTAGTACAGGGTAGCGCTCCTTTGAATGAATGCGGGACCAAGCTGCAGTGGAGGACTGTGGCTATCCAGAGTCAGAGATATACACTTATATCTATGATCAGTTTTCCCGCAGGTTAGGCGGGAATTTTTTTTTATATTACGAAAATTATAATTTGACATCACTTTTCTACATTGATGATCGCACAGGCATTCCTGACAAAGAGCGTGTGTTTGTGTGCATGGAAATGTACCATCCACCCTCCCTGTTAGATTTGATCTAATCCGTGTCCTGAAACACACCTCCTTCTCATTCCCTGCTAAAAAATCCATCTTAAACCAGCCTAGGCTGGTTGGCTGGTTTTAGCTGGTCGACCAGCCTGGTTTTAGAGGGGTTTGGGCCATTTCCAGGCTGGTTTCCAGCCATTTCCAGCCTGGTCTCAGCTGGTCATGCTGGGAGATGACCAGCTAAAACCAGCGTGACCAGCCTAGCCAGGCTGTGAGTCTAGTCAAAACCAGCTATGTCCAGCTTAAACCAGGCTGGTCAAGCTGGATTTAGCTGGTCATTTTCCAGCCTGAAAACCCATGAATCACAAAATATGGAAAAGCTGTTAGTTTACTGATTTATTTGTGCAGTGTACAGTGCTACTCGCTTATTTTTAATTGATTGCAATGTGATAATGCGCTTTCGTGAAGCTGTTTTAAAACAATACTTCTTGAATGATCCTGATATATTTTCTTAATGAATGTCTGCACAAATATCTGAAGAGGCATGAAATAAAGTCTGCTCTGCGTCTGTATTCAGCAATCATCTGACGCACTAATCTGATCTTGTGCTCAGTTTTAACCTTTGGTTCCCTCACGGTTTGCGTTTAACCCTTGAGCGGGCGCGTTCGTTAAGCTTGATGAAAACCTGCTGGCCGAGGCGTTTTCCAGCACCAGATGTTTGCTGTCGCTGCATGAAACATCCTGTTTGCCAACTCATTCTGGGATGTAAAGAAAAACCCTGAAAAACGTTTCATGTGTGCTTCGCTCAGATTCATGCTTTATAGACGGCAGCAGCTGAGTCAGTCGCTCCGCTTTCTCTGCCAGTAACAGACTCCTCTGAGGAAATAAAGGAGGGAGGAACTGCATGTAAGGAGGCGGATAAAGAAAACTCAAGATTTGCTGAGTCTCTGCTGTATATGGTAGAAATACTTGCAGAGGAGTCTAGAAGAGCCCCTTAAAAATGTGATTTTATATGCATATAAGCATAACAAATGTATGTAAGCACATAGTTGTGGTGGAGAATCTCAAAATATGAGTTAAATAATGTTCCACGGTCATTTGGTGAAGATAAAACCATTAAAAATACACTCAAATATGATATTTAAACTGTAAAATGAGTAAAAAAACACCATTCTTGAGTTTTTGGAAGGACAACTTAATTGTTTTATGTTTAATTCACTTTAATTTGTAAACTAATCTTAAATCCTTCATGTTGTCCCAACACATATAGATTGAGTGAAACCAAAGACTGTAGAATACACAAGACATGTCACTCGTATCTTATTGAATTGGGAAAAGTGTAACGGTCAATTTGGCGAATTAAGCCCAGCCTGCTAGTACAGGAGCCAATCACCGATCGATATATGGCAAATAAAGCCCGCCTTTTAGTACAGGAGCCAATCGCCGATCTCTAGACTGACGGAACTCCGGGGGAGGGGCTCAGATCAGACAGGAGTTACATCTGTAAATAGTTTTGCATTAATTGGAAGATAGTGTAAAGGGATGTGTTGGTTTAGTTTTTTCCTGATTAGGGAATTTAATTTGGATAATTTGCTGTAAAAATGTCTGACTGCTGTTATAGTTTGTATTTTTATTTTTTGTAAATAAATAAATAACGTAAATTTAAACAAAATAAGTTTTAAGATTGATTATTGGTGACTGGGTGTGAGCCTGATAGGGCAGCTTTATTTGAACTCAGGAAAATTAAGACAGATTTAACATGATTTAAGACCTACGACCCAATATTTCAGCGAATTTAAGACTTTATAATTTTGTTTTTGAAATGTAAGAATTTCTAAGACTTTTTAGGAGCATTATGAAATCAATTTTAGACTTATCCAAGACTAAACACTCAGGATTTTTTCTAATGGTCTGGTTACTTCTGTAAATAGTTTTTGTATTAATGAAAGATCATGTAAAGAGATGTGTTGCGTTAGTCTTTTTCCTGAGTAGAGAGTATCATTTGGATAATTTGTTGTAAAATGTCTGACTGCTGTTGTAATTTGTAACTTTTTGCAAAAACAAAAAAAAAAACGGTTAAAATCAACAAAAGAAGTTTTAAGATTGATTATTAGTGACTGGGTGTGAGCCTGATAGGGTATTGTAGCTTTACTTGGACACAGGAAAATTATGACCGGTTTACAATAATTTAAGACCTACGACACAATATTTCAGTGAATTTAAGACTTTTTAATTTTGTTTTTGAAATGTAAGAATTTCTAAGACTTTTTAAGAGCATTATGAAAGATATTTTAGACTTATTCAGGACTGAACACTCAGGATTTTTTCTAACAGTCTGGTTACTTCTGTATATAGTTTTTGTGTTAATGGAAGATCATGTAAAGGGATGTGTTGCTTTAGTCTTTTTTTGCCTGATTAGAGAATTTATTTTGGATAATGAGTTGTAAAATGTCTGACTGCTGTTGTAATTTGTATGTTTTTGCAAAAAAATAACGTGAATATAAGCAAAAGATGTTTTAATTGATTATTGGTGACTGGGTATCAGCCTGATAGGGGAGCTTTTCTTTGGACACAGGAAAATTAAGACCGATTTAAAATGGTTTACGACACAATATTTTAATCAATTTAAGACTTTTAAATTTTGTTTTTGAAATTTAAAACATTTAAAGATTTTTTAAGACCTTATTAGGATCATTATGAAGGAAATTTTAGACTTATACATGGCTAAACACCTTCTAATGGCCTGTTACTTCTGTATAGTATTTGTGTTAATGAAAGATCATGTAAGGGATGTGTTGCTTAACTTTTTTTTTTCCTGATAAGGGAATTTAATTTGGATATTTTGCAGTAAAAATGTCTTGACTGCTGTTGTAAATTGTAAAAAAAAAAAAAAAAAAAAAAAAAAACGTAAATATAAACAAAAAAAGTTTTAAGATTGATTATTGGTGATTTTCCACTGTAAAACATATGCTGGATAAGTTGGCGGTTCATTCCGCTGTGGCGACCCCAGATTAATAAACAGGCTAAGCTGAAAAAAATTAATGAAGGAATTATTGGTGATTGGGTGATGGCCTGATAGGGTAGCTTTACTTCCTGCTTATTGCACAAGACTCTGTTTTGCACTCTCTATGATGCACAAGCTTTGTTTTTTCCAGTTATGCCTTTGTTGATTTTATATAGAGTACTGAATCCATATTGTCAGTATATCTGATACACTGTAAACACATAAATGAATTAAACTGACACAATTTGAGATAAACTATACAAATCAACCCTAAAATTGTCAGAATATTATTCCCTATGATGCTCAAGCTTTGCTTTTTTACAGTTATGCCTTGGTTGATTGTATATACATCTATATTGGCTACAGTATATAACTCCAGCACTTTCTAATGCACAATCCAGTGGTGTAAACGCGTTTTCAACAGGCCTTTGCTCTCCATGATGAGGTTACACCGTGAAAACGTGGTAAACAGTATATTTCTACTTACCCACTCCAGGACTTTAACGAAACCCAGAGGCTCTTTAACGGGGCTCAAGTTCAATCTGAATCCAGTCTGCATCTTTCCCACCGAGCCAGAAATCCACCAGGAAGAAAGGGAAGAGCTTGAAAATCTTGCAGGCTCAAGTTTGCTTAAAAAAAAATAAAGTTTAACAGAGTGACGTGGTGTGTGTGTGTGTGTGTGTGTGTGTGTGTGGTAAAAGATGCTGCTCCTCCTCCACAGAAACCGGAGTAAATCCAGATGACAGGAGAAACGGAGTTCAGCGCAAGATATGAACTATTGCGTGAAGGGTTTGATTTATACAGTAATTATCAATCGAACGAAGTAAAATAAATAAAAGTTTTTCTCCGCGTCAAAAAGTCCCGCAAATATTTCAGTCATATGATCCTCTACATTCCTGCGCTCCGTTAAACTCTTCATTCTCTTAAAGGAGCAGATCACCCAAAAAATAACTTATCATTTCAATAATTGATGTATTGAGCGATAATCGCTGTTAAATTATGCGTTTGTTTCGTATTGATGTGTATGTAACCGTTAAAGATGTATGTAAAAGCTAACGGAAAACGTTAGCACGCGACGTTACGTCAGAGCTCAGTTTACGTTAATGTTACATAAATACACGCGTTTGTTTATAATTTTAAAATATTTACTTGTTTATCTAATATTTTACACGTATTTAAACAATATTATTTTTAAAACGTCTCGATAATCTGGGCAATAAATTCACAATAATACAAGTACACTCACCGGCCACTTCATTAGGTACACCTTACACCGGGTTGGACACCCTTTTGCCTTCAGAACTGCCTTAGTCCTTCGTGGCATTGATTCAATAAGGTACTGGAAATATTCCTCAGAGATTTTGCTCCATATTGTCCTGATAGCATCACGCAGCTGCTGCAAATTTGCCCGCTGCACATCCATGATGGGAATCTCCCGTTCCACCACATCCCAAAGGTGCTCTATTGGATTGAGATCTAGTGACTGTGGAGGCCATTTGAGCACAGTGAACTCATTGTCATGATCAAGAAACCAGTCTAAGATGATTCACGCTTTATGACATGGTGCGTCATCCTGCTGGAAGTAGCCATCAGAAGATGGAGACACTGTGCTCATAAAGGAATAGACATGGTCAGCAACAATACTCAGGTAGGCTGTGGCGTTGACACTAATGGGCTCAAAGTGTGCCAAGAAAATATCCCCCCCACCATTACACCACCACCAACTTGAACCGTTAATACAAGAGAGGATGGATCCATGTTTTCATGGTGTTGACGCAAAATTCTGACCCGACCATGTGAATGTTGCAGCAGAAATTGTCCAGTTTTGGTGAGTCTGTGTGAATTGTAGTCTCGGTTTCCTGTTCTTAGCTGACAGGAGCGGCGCCCGGTGTCGTCTTCTGCTGCTGTAGCCCATCCACCTCAAGGTTGGATGTGTTGTGTGATCAGAGATGCTCTTCTGCAGACCTCGGTTGTAACGAGTGCTTATTTAAGTTACTATTGCCTTTCTATCAGCTGGAACTAGTCTGGCCATTCTCCTCTGACCCCTGGCATCAAGGCATTTGCGCCCACAGAACTGCCGCTGGATATTTCCTCTTTGTCAGACCATTCTCTGTAAACCCTAGAGAAGGTTTTGCGTGAAAATCTCAGTAGATCAGTAGCTTCTGAAAAACTCAGACCAGCCCGCCTTAGCCATAGACATCTAATACAGAGCTCTCTATAATCATGTCTATGAATATTGATGCACTAAAGCATGTTTTTACATATATTATTTTAAAACCCTTTGGTAATCAGAGTAAATACATATTATCTTATTTTATAAATACTATAGGCCACACGGTGGCTCAGTGGTTAGCACTGTGCCCTCACACGGCTGGTTCAAGTCACCGGCTGGGTCAGTTGGCATTTCTGTGTGGAGTTTGCATGTTCTCCCCATGTTGGCGTGCTCTGGTGCAAACACATGCGCAATAGGTGAATTGGCAGTAGTGTATGAATGTGTGTGTGTGTGTGTGTGAATGAGTGAGTATGGGTGGTTCACAGCACTGGGTTGCAGCTGGAAGGGCATATGCTGCGTAAAATATATGCAGGAATAGTTGGCGGTTCTTTCCACAGTGGCATCCTCTGAAATAGAGACTAAGGAAAACGAATGAATAAATGAACATCACATGACCCACGACATCCAAAAAACCCCAAATCAGATCAGGTTGTGGTATGATATTGCTTTTTATTTAAACTTTCACACTAATGTCCCTAACACAGTTTTTTAATGTGTTCATGAAGTGATTTCGTTACTAGATTGAAGGCTAGTGCATCGAGAAACAGTTTACTGTCTTTACAGCAGCTATAAAAGGGAATGAACATTTCATCTGTTTCACTAGTCCATAAAAAAGGAAGAGAAATAATAACATTTCAGCAGAAAGGATGGACTGTAGTAGTTGTTGCTTTTTTTTTTGTCTGTTTTAAATCACTTGCTTTAGATTAAAATAGAGGTGGAAAGTGGAAGAGACCCAACATATACATAAAAACATCGATGAAATCATAATTCGCCAGTGTACAATCAAACATGTATGTACACACACTCACTCACACACTCACTCACACATAATAGATATATATGAACACGCGTGTCAGAAACCGATTGAGCCACGTCAGCCAGACTGTAAAACAGATAAATGAACTCTCTGTTGGTACAAAATGGGCATTTAGACAAAAATAAGAACAGATCTCTATCTGCACTAAGAAGAAGCCGGTTCTCTCCATACAAACAAACACACACGTTCATATATACAAGAGAGGAGGCAGTTTGGCCACATTATTCGGACTACGGAGATTTACTATGGTAAAGGCGGTGTTTACATCGCTCGTAAAAAATAATGAATACAAAATAGCAAAACCAAAGCTCCTCTAAAATGATTCCCGCTGTAGAATTAAACGCGTTTGGGAATGAACAGCTGTAGTAAATATTGAAAACTAATAAAAATGTTTTCTTTACATCGTTTGTCCTGATGGAGCATTTTAAATGTTGGCAAATCGGGATTATGTTGTTTTTTTTTTGCAGAACAAGAAAATTATTAGATCTTGACAAGACTATGTTTAGATATTTCATCCGAACAATAAATAGAAGGAAATACTCGTTCATATTTGGCATGAAGAAAATTAATCCTGCATTTAACATTTCAAATTGTGACAATATTTTCATGAACAAAGGTTAGAATAGTCACCACTGTGCAATTAATTACAAAAAATTATATATATATATATATATATATGAGCAATTTCACACGAGTAGCATTGTGATATGGCTGTATATTGGCACTGGTGGGAGGCGTGCGTTGGCTCGAGGCCATAATATATATATATATATATATATATATATATATATATATATATATATATATATATATATATATAAGAATAAAAAAATTGTATTATAATAAAATAATCATATATATATATATATATATATATATATATATATATATATATATATATATATATATATATATATATATATAAAATTATAATGTATGTGTATATATATATATATATATATATATATATTCGAGATTTTACAGATATATATTTTACAGATCAGCCAATACATATTTACCATATTTGCTCTAATTTTGTTTACTGTATATAAATGGGTTATATATATATATATATATATATATATATATATATTAACCTTACTAACATTATACAGCAATAATTGAGATATAACCATAATCACTCCCACCAGGATTTTGCAAGGGCATTTTTTATATTTGCGGCCAAAAATGACAAATTTTGTGTCGACTTTCCTTAAAAATTATGGCCTCCTTTGCTTCAACTCTTGTGTTTTTATGTAAAAATACAAGAAAATATTAGAAAAAAAAACAAAGGACTCGGAAAATCCAGGCCGGAATGCTATATAAATATATATTGCTGTGATTTAAATGAATGTGCTATTTAAATTAAAATCTTATTTGCAAAATCACACAATACTGCACTACAGTACATATATTTCATATTTTTAGCATTACAATGAGGATTAATAATAAGAATTAGCTTTAAAGGGGAACTATATTGCTCCTTTTTACAAGATGTAAAATAAGTCTCTAATGTCCCTAAAGTTTGTAGAGAAGTTTCAGCTCAAAATACCACACAGATAATGTTTTATAACTCTTTGAAGCTGTCCCTAGTTGATTCTAGTTGTGTTGTTTTGGTGACTGTCTCTTTAAATGCAAATGAGATTGTGCTCTTTTCGAAAGCGGGCGGAGCTACAAATGCCTGCGTGTCAGCATAGTGGCAGATTCCACAGCAAGACTAATGTCCTATGCTAATGAGGGAGAGATCATCACTATAGTGGGCGGGGCTTTCCTCCTTTGATGACACATACAAAGAGAAAATGTCAATCAAAGTGTTTCTGCAGACTGTTTTCATCAAGTCTGATTATAAAGAATTAAATTAATAAATGGCTACCAATAGAAGCTGGTTATATTCATGGTATGTTGCCACATAACTGTGTTTAAACCCCATATAAAAGTGATTTTTGCTAAATAGGTCCCCTTTAAGAATTAAAGAAAAGTAACCATGTAGATGGAAGTGTGACATGATAATTTGCTGTCGAAATGTGCCTAAATGTCAGAAATACTAAACAATATATGATTCATTTTCTTCATGCAAACTGAATTGTCCCTCTATTTAGATTTTAGGATGAAATATAAGCTAAACACAGTCTTGCGATTTAAAAATAAAGCTAGAATCGTCCTCAAATAAACACAAGGCCGGCGAAAGGAAAGTGATCGCTCTATCTCAGCCGTCCTCTTTGCATAAAGGAATAGATTAATCCTCTGATAAAGTGAAAAACTCTACACACGACATTCACATTCGACAAACACTGGACGATTAGCTTTCAGTCCTACAGTCAAGCAAAGCCAAAACTCCTGGCCGTTTTTACACACACATAAACGTCTCCATTCCTGCAAAGACGTGTGCATTTTGACGCTGGGTTAAATGATTTAAATAGCACGATAACAGCTCTCGTCCGCATTAGAAAGAGACAGTGAAGCGTAGCGAGTCAGGGGACAGAAACCGTGTGTCCTCACGTCTGTCGGCGGAGCAAAGGACGATGGGGGAAAAACTCTCAGAGCAGCAGATCCTGCACTTCGCTCTCCTTCAGCTTGGCATTGTCTCTCACCTCATCGAAGGTGTACGTCTTTACAATCTTGCCGTTCCTGAACACGGTGTGCAGCAGGTCCTGCCATGGAAATAAGAGGAAAATCAAACAGATATCAGAGATGCATTTAGAGCTATATTAAGTCTATATTATTAGCCCAAATGATGTTTAACAGAGCAAAGAATTTTTCACAGTATGTCTGATAATATTTTTTCTTCTGGAGAAAGTCTGATTTGTTTTATTTAGGCTAAAATAAAAGCAGTTTTTATTGTTTTTAACCCATTTTAGGGTCAATAATATTAGACCCCTTTCGCATCTCAAATGTCTCTCGCGAGTGCCGTTGGCGATGTTCCCACATAAACTCATCAGGGGCTGCTGTCGACCGGCTGAATGACTGAATGATTGACTGTGCGACCGGCCAATCGACGGACCCACCCTCCTCCTTCCCTGAACCCAACCAGTTTTACCGATTTACCCGCCCGCCCGCTCACTTCCCCTAAACCCAACCGTCGATTTAAAATAAAGCCGTCCAGAAAAAGAAAAGCCCTCGTCTGATTTTTTAAACACGTTTTCGTATTTTAACACATTCTCACCCTGTTGTTCACCCTGTTTTATTTTTTGGATTCAGATTTCTGGAACCGCTCTTCCCCGGACTCGAACCTGGTCATCGTCGTCATGGTAAACTCCGCCAACGTACATGACGAGCTAATGGGACTACTAACTGGTTGCGGAGGGAAAGCCCTCCACACGGCGGTTAGCGGTCAGCCGGTAAGCGCCAAAAGGAAAGGCATCATACCGCCCTGTAGCGTTCGCTTAAAAACATGAAAGCCATACGTAAATCCGGCTACATATTCCGCGTTCTCCAGAAACGTCCCCAAGACTACGTTTTCAGAATGAGCCTGGGTTTAATATTTGTTTCAGATTGTCTACATGACAAACCACTGTTATACAATGACTTGCCTAATTGCCCTAACTTTAACCTAATTTACCTAGTTAAGCCTTTAAATGAATCACTTTAAGCTGTCATCATGGAAAAGATAAAATAAATCAGTTATTAGAGATGAGTTATTAAAACTATTATGTTTAGAAATGTGTTGAAATAATCGGCTCTCCGTTAAACAGAAATACAGGATAAACATGTACAGGAAAGCTAATAATTCAGACTTCAGCTTTATATTTAAATAAATTTTTCACTTCTAATTATCAAGAAAATTTAATGCATAAAAAAACAAACCTCTCCGTATTCCTCCAGATCTCCTTTTCCCTCTTCCAGAGTCACGAAATCTCCACTCGGCGTCCTGTGAAGAGAAAGACGACCCTTCTTTGACCGTTTATTGGGGTCTGCCACAGGGTCCTTGAAGACGTTTACCTGCAATTAACAACAATGTGTGAATGAAAAGTTTAACGCTCTCAAAAAAATACTTTCTCTTTGTCAATGCATACATTAATAATGTCAGTGTTCAAACATTTGCCATCAAGTGTTACTTTTGGCAGCAAATTTTTTATTTAGTTTTAGTCTTGAGTAAAATATCATTTTGTTTTAGTCATATTTGCAGCATTTCAAGTGGTTTAATACAATAAACTAAATTTAAAATAATTTAATTATTTCATTCTTTTAACAAAATCAAAGAAAGTTTATTTATTTTAGTTTGGCTGGAATGGCCATGTGAACAGTAATTTCTTGCAAAATATTATGTGCTGTCATCATGGCAAAGACAAAAGAAATCATTTATTAGAAATATGTCGTATAACTATTAAACATAACAGCATCAGAGTATTGTACAACAGGCTTTTTCTAGGAACATATTGAAATGTGTTGTATTTTGCATTTGGAAACTTAAGTTCACACAACAAATTAAGCAAACTTAACGTTTTGTTTGAAGTATTTTTGTCAATTATAATTATACACAACATATGAATTGAGACGAGTTATACTTCATTGTCCTTTTCAAGAAATTTGTCTTGGACTCAGTGCACATAGATAAAAAAACCCAAAAAAAACATATACACTCAATATATACAACATATATGCCCAAATGCATTGCTCCTGCAGAATTTATAAAGTTCAGATGCAAAAATCAGTGCCCTCTGAATTTTTTTTTCTAAAATGAGCATTTTAAATTCAGTAATTGTATTAGAATGGAAAAGCACAGGCCCTAGAGTCTCTGCTAGCTCTGCACTTACGCCCAGTCCGTTCGTCACCACATAACTGCACTTAAAAGAGCAGTTGAGCAGATCTCGGGTCAGTTTCTGCAGTAAAGCTCCTCCTGAGCCAAACGCAATGTTCTCGATGCTCCATCTGTGCTCCTTCATGCCCTCCACGATCTGTATAACACATGCAATCAACAACAGAGCAGGTATTTACACCTTTCCCAAAGTCATAAAGCACTTTTCATGCATTTTCCAGGTGTGTTTTTTAAAACGTTTCCAGCACTTTACAAGTGCAATAAATCAGTATTTACATATACATACATGCTTCATTAGAGTGTAATTGTTCAACCCTTTTCACTTTATACTGCATGAAATAATATTTTTATCTATTTAGTAAGATAAATTATCATGAAAGCAACAATAATATTTTCAAGCAGTTTCAAGCACTTCATTCAAAAATGAAGTGCTTTTGATGTGCTTAGACACGATTAAACATGACTAAAATTCAAGTGTTTTCATGCATTTCCAGAATGAATGCCAGAAACAGCTCAATAGCTGCACATACACACCTCCTGTAGGGTGTTGATGTCCACACCGTCACCCTGAATGACCCGAATGTACGGCGGAAGCACCTTATAGCCTTTAGAGTTCTCCTCTGGAGGAAACTTCTTGCCTAAAATCTCCAGGACCTGCAAAATAACACATCATTTTCATTTTCAGGGCACTCATTCAAATACTCACTGGAAAAACCCTGGAGCAGAATTAAATGGGGTTATTACAAGAATTTTTTACTTTTATTTTTTATATATATTTATATAAAGTAAGTAATAGTGATGGGTAAAGTAATACTTTCTGTCTATAAGTAAATATATGACATTCATATATTATATGAGAGACTTGTGGTGATAATTGCATCTGAAAAAAGCGAATCTAATTGGATTTGCATTGTTAACCTTAAATAAAAAGCTAAAAGTATTTCATGTTTTAATTTTTTAGTTATGACTCTCCAAAACTCACTCCACATATATAAATATACGTAAATAAAAAATGGCAATAACATAATTTATAAAACTACTGAAGTGCTGATGGAAATATATAATACAAGTGCTAAATTACATAATTATTATTTCCTGTTTAATGTCTTTAATTACGGCCCTAAAACACTTTTTCTGTGTGACACTTTCCACTTGAGTTACGAATCATTCATAAGTCTGCAGATTTTGTACAGAAATAGCCCAGGTCCTGGTCATAACCACTGTACCTTGAGCACGGTGTCGAGAGGATTTCCAGAATCGGGCCGCACCACCAGCGGGGCATCTGCGCTCCTCATCTCGATCAGACTCCGCAGGTCTTCACCCCAGATCTTCTCACAGGCGTTGTAGATGTCGTAGCTGTCGCTGACGATGGACACGGGCACCGACGGGAACTGCTTGATGATGTGCTCAAAAGCGTCTTTCTCATGGTCCTTTCCCCAGGCAGTGATTGTGCTGCAACACAAAGTCACAAATGCTGTTTATATATATATATATATATATATATATATATATATGAATGTACATGCCAACATCTATTAGCATTAATTACATTTCAGCAATTAGATATAAATGAGCTGTTTGAGATTAAAAACAACAACAATTAAATTACAACAAAAAGAAAATGTACAATAAGATATACTAAAAAGAATCAGACTAAATGTGCAGATTTCTCTCTATGCATAGAAATAGAAATATGTAAACAAAATTTAGCTGTTTAAGATGAACTAATTATTAAAATACTATGCAGATTTTTCTATGCATATAAATATGGGAAAAGGCTGTTTAAGATAAAGAACTAACGATCAGAATACCATGCAGATGTCTCTCTATGTAAAGAAATATAAACATTCATTAAAAAAAATCTATCTAAGATAAAAAAACTAATTATTAGTATGCAGATTTCTCTCTATGCAAATTATTTAAACTACAATAATATGACTCCTAAAATTAATTATTATACCTACTATGCAGATTTCTTTCTATGCATATAAATATAAACGTGTACAAATATATAAATGTTTAAGATAAAAACGAACAACCTATTATACAGATTTCTCTCTATGCATATAAATATTAAAAAAGGTAAAAACTAACTAACCTACTTTGCAAATTTCTCTCTATGTATAGAAATATAAATATGCATAACAAATGTTTAAGATTATGGTTTAAGATTAAAAATGTAATGTTTAAAATAAAAAATAAAAAAACATACCTACTATGCAGATTTATCTCTATGCACATAAATATATGCAAATAAAGTACAATATATTATGAATCCTAATTAGTTGCTGATTACAAATTACATGACAAAATGTGTGTCTACTTTTCAAAGTTAATACTTTCACACATTTATAGTAACGTAATCTGATTACTTTTGGATTACATTTAGATTACTTTAACATATAGTTTTGACAGATATACATACAAATATATGTTCAAATATTTATCAGCAATAGAAGCCCCAACAACAAAGTGCAATGGAGAGTTAATCCTTTTAACACATTTATGGTAATGTAATCTGATTACTTTTGGCTTTTGGATTACATTTAGATTACTTTTGTGCTAATCTACATTTTATGTTTCTTATATTAATGTAGGATAATGTTGCATTGCTTTCACACATATATACTGCATAAAATAAAAAACATACCTACTATGCAGATTTCTCTCTATGCACATAAATATATGCAAATAAAGTACAATAGCATAACTCATAAAACTACTCAAGTGCTGAAATATATTATAAAAGTGCTAAATTATATAAAAAACTAATAATATATAAAAAAAGGGTTAACGTATTTTTACTGTTACTAACATTTATTAATATTATGCAATTTATTTCCATATTTATATGCAAATGCATATGCAAATATAATAAATTATATAATAAAAATATCTAAATTATTTTTAGTGTTTTACACATACAAGTTTAAAACATACTGTGTAGACATAAACCTTTTTAAAATATGTACACAATGAGTGTGTATATAATAAATATATCACATTAATATTACAAAATTGCCCAGCCATTTACATGCTGATCACCATGTTTCATTTTATGACACGCACCACTAGCTGGCAGCATTTTACAAAACATCAGTCAATGCAAAAGTAACTTCTCCTGTGATTCAATTCACCACAGTCTTTCACACCAAGATTTGCTCGAGTGTGAAGAAACTCTGGTCTCCGATAATGATGTAACAGGATGCTGCTGAATATACGACAGGAAATGAGGAGGGTAATGATGCGGCATTAACTAACCAGAATGCATTGTGCAACATCTAACACAACAGCAACTACTTAAAACCCTCCAGTTTAAAGGAAATTGGTTTTAGCTGTTCATATTAACTATCATCCTGAAGCTGCAGTATTCATTCAGACACAACAAGTTTGAGCTGTTCCACCTGTGTTCTGCAGCTGGTACTGAGAAGCCAGGAACCGGGTCTTTGGTGCCGTAGTATTTCTTGATGACCCCGATCCCGGCCACCGTATCCGTTCCTTTAAAGTTCACCAAGTGTGCAGATGCGCCGATACCAGCCGTCTGGGGAAAAAACAAACATGGGTCAGACTTCATTTTAAAGTTCTTGCTATTAATAAACCATTAACTATGACTTTTTGAAACTATGTTGGCTGAAAGACGTGGTTACAAACATGACAATGAAAAGATAACCTGTATATTAAGAGATGAACACAAGGTCTTTGAGGGAATTTTATTCTAAAATGTGGTGAAATATGTTTAAAAGGAATTTAATTACTTGTAAATGTGGATTAAGGTGAATTGCGTAAAGGTAAACAGCACATGAATCTCACCTCTTGCGATGAAACCCCTCTGTAACCAAAGTCATGCAGTTTATACTCCAGTCCTTCCAGGCTTCCCGACGTTTCCATGAGATATTTGGCCAGAATCTTCTTCTGTTCCCTCGAGTTTGTGGCGACGGTGATGGGATACCAGATCTGAACCAGGCAAGTCTGTTGAGGAAACAAACGCACACCATTTAAACAGCAACTATTAGGTCAACTATTAAATGATAAGAAATGTGTTTTATTTATTAGCATTTTATTTTGAACACTTAATAGGCACTGAGCAGATGATTTATGAATCCTAATTAGTTACTGATTACAAATTACATGACAAAATGTGTGTCTACTTTGTTAATACTTTCACACATTTATAGTAACGTAATCTGATTAATTTTGGATTACATTTAGATTACTTTAACATATTGTTTTGACAGATATTCATACAAATATATGTTCAATAATTTATCAGCAATAGAAGCCCCAACAACAACGTGCAATGGAGAGTTAATCCTTTTAACACATTTATGGTAACGTAATCTGATTACTTTTGGCTTTTGGATTACATTTAGATTACTTTTGTGCTAATCTACATTTTATGTTTCTTATATTAATGTAGGATAATGTTGCATTGCTTTCACAGATATATACTATATATATATATATATATATATATATATATATATATATATATATATATATATATATATATATATATATATATATATATATATATAATTCTTTATCAGCACCAAAAACTCCCACAACAAAGTGCAATGGAGAGTTAATACTTTCACACATTTACAGTAATGTAATCTGATTACTTTTGGATTACAATAAGATTAGTTTTGTGCTAACCTACATTTTATGTCTCTTATATTAATGTATGATAAAATATTGTTTTGACAGATATACATACAAATATATATTCAATTCTTTATCAGCAACAAAAGCCCCAACAACAAAGTGCAATGGAGAGTTAATCCTTTTTACACATTTATGGTAACGCAATCTGATTACTTTTGGATTACATTTAGAATACTTTTGTGCTAATCTACATTTTATGTTTTTTATATTAATGTAGGATAATGTTCTAGTGCTTTCACAGATATACAGTGTATATATTCAATTCTTTATCAGCACCAGATGCCCCAACAACAAAGTGCAATAGGAAGTTTATACTGTTTACACATTTATAGTAATGTAAACTGATTACTTTTGGATTACATTTAGATTGCTTTTGTGCTAACCTACATTTTATGTTTCATATATTAATGTAGGATAACATATTGTTTTGACAGATTTACATACAACTATATATTCAATTATTTATGAGCAACAGAAGCCGCAACAACAATGGAGAGTTAATACTTTCAAACATTTATAGTAATGTAATCTGATTACTTTTGGATTACATTTAGATTACTTTTGTGCTAATCTACATTTTATGTGTCATATTTTATTGTAGGATAATTGCTTTCACAGATATACATACAAATATATATTCAATTCTTTATCAGCAACAGAAGCCCCAACAACAAAGTGCAATGGAGAGTTAATACCTTTTCACATTTATGCTAACGTAATTTGATTACTTTTGGATTAAATTTAGATTACTTTTGTGCTAACCTACATTGTATGTCTCTTATATTAATGTAGAATAATGTTGTATTGTTTTGACAGATACATACTGTATATATATACACAAATATATATGAAATACTTTACCAGCCATAAAAGCAAAGAGCAATGACGTGGAGTTACTATATTTACACATTTGTAGTAATGTAATCGGATTACTTTTGGAATACTTTTACATTATTTTTGTCCAATATTTAATGTCTCATATATTAAAGTATGATAACTTTGCACTGTTTTGACAGATATGCATACAGATGTATATTCAACTCTTTATGCGCAATAGGAGCCCCAACAGCAAAGTGCAATGATGGAGAGTTGTTACTTCCACTAGTATAAAGAGATATGTTTAAATGGACCAAAAATATTGTTTAAATTCACTTAGAAATGGACAAAAACATTCATTTTAATAGTCATTTATACTGAGCACTGTATATTGCAGAAAAAAACACATTTTTGTGCAGTCCTTATGCACTTAGAGAGCTTGAAAAATCTCAAATAAACACAGAGTGTTTGCTGGGAGGTGATGCCAGGCAGAAATGCATTGTTTAAGGCCAGCCGGTCAAGTCAATATTATGATACTACACAAATACCCTGATAAGCCCTGGCGCTTTCTGGGCACAAGAACATCCTGCTGTCTCAATCTCATGGACTCCATTCAACTCGGTGAACTGTAGAGTTTTAGTGCAATCGCTGTTTTTGCCCTGGGGTAATAGCTTGTTTCTGAATCTGCTTTAAAATCCAGTCAATCCAGTCATCTTTTGATAATGATTTTATTCATTATTCTAGTCTCAGTTGCAATTTTGCCAGAGAAATGTGATGTATTTCTAAGTGAAACAGGGTGTTCGATAACTCAGTTAGAGCCTGATGAGATCTGGTTAGCATTAATCAATGCAAATTTAAAGTCTAATGAAATTTCCTTTTTCAATCAAAAAGAAAACAAAATCAAATGCATTTATGTACATAACAGACATGAGAACCACTGCCTAGTCCTCATGTCAACAAAGTGTTTTATAACACTGATTATAATTTATAATACAAATAATTTACTAAGCTGTTATTATTATTAGTATTAATACATTTAAATAATCCACAAAATTTTTCATATTTATTGTTGTTCCTTTCAAAAACAGAGCTTTTATTTTGGTGGAAAAAATTGGAAATGTTTTTTTTTTTGTTCTCCAAAATTGAACTGTCTATATACAGTTTAAGTCAGAATTATTAGCCCCACTTTGATTTCTTTTTTAAATATTTCCCAAATGATGTTTAGAAGAGCAAGGGAATTTTCACAGTATGTCTCATAATTTTTTTTCTTCAGAAGAAAGTCTTATTTGTTTAATTTCGACTAGAATAAAAGCAGTTTTTAATTTTTTTAAAAACATTTTTGGGACAAAATGATTAGCCCCATTAAGCTATATTATTTTTCAATAGTCTACAGAACAAACCATCGTTATACAATAACTTCCCTAATAACCCTAACCCGCTTAACCTATTTAACCTAGTTAAGCCTTAAATGTCACTTTAAGCTGTATAAAAGTGTCTTGAAAAATATATAGCCAAATATTATGTGCTGTCAACAGGACAAAAATCAGTTATTAGAAATTAGTTATTAAAACGAATATGTTTAAACGCATGTTGAAGAAATCTTCTCTCCGTTTAAAAGAAATTGGGGAAAAAATAAACAGGGGGGCTAATAATTTTGACTTAAACTGTACACATTTAATCCACCTCTTAAAGCCAGACACTGCTGACAGTCCTTTTTGGGGAAAAATGCATCTGTGTTGCAAATTATGTTGACAAAAGTTTTATGCTACATTTGCCCTCATTTGCCTTTTAGTTGTGAATTTGTTTTAGTAAATTGTCCTATGTAAATTTGATTGTGTAACTTGATTGTGTAAATCATATATTAAAAATGTGCATATATTTTTTTTATCTTAAATTGTCCCTCTCTTAAAAAGTTGGAAAGTTGCATGTTACATGGATCCAATCCATGCTCAGCAAAACTAGCTAGAAAAATCTCAGTCATTGTTGGAATATTCTGGAAGCTGACAGCATTAACAATTCATATTAAAATATATATCATTAACATTAAGGGGATGGTCTGCAAGCAATTGACCAATATCGGTATTGAAATCGGCCAAAAGTTTAATTAATATCGGTATTGACCAAAAATGTGTAATCAGTACAAATCGGTACAACCCTACATTAAAATATAATAAATGCATATTGCTGGAATGCTTTTAAGGCTGACAGCATTAACAATTCATATCAAAATATATATTATTAACATTAAGGGCATAGTCTGCATGCAATTGACCGATATCGGTATTGAAATCGGCCAAAAGTTTAATTAATATCGGTATTGACCAAAAATGTGTAATCAGTACAAATCGGTACAACCCTACATTAAAATATAATTAATGCATATTGCTGGAATGCTTTTAAGGCTGACAGCATTAACAATTCATATCAAAATATATATTATTAAAATTAAGTGTATAGTATTGTATGCAATTGACTGATATCGGTATTGGAAATGGCCAAAACAAATCGGTTTTGACCAAAAATATGTGTAATCGGTACAAATCAGTACATCCTTACTTTAAAATCTAATTCCTAAATTGTTGTGGCTTCAGTCATTGTTGGAATATGTGTAAAGCTGGTAGCATTAGCAATTTATATCAAAATATAAATCATTAAAATTAAGTGTAAACCATTTGATCATTAGTGGCTTTGAAAACAGCTGAAAGTTTTAAATTAAAATCAGTATCAAGCAAAAAATTGGTAATCGGTAAAACCCTACTTTAAAATATAATAAATAATTTTTTTCCTTATGATCCTGTCCTATTTCTCAAACTCCTAAGAATAGCTTTTTCTGCATTTCCTCTGACTAAACTTCACACTTAATGTCATTCATCAGCTCAAAATCTGTCTCAGTGCACAAATGTCAACAGGGATTATCTTAAAACTAGTGTTTAATGCTGGCTCACATGTGTGTGTAAAGCCAAACTATAATGCAAAGGGCCAGCATGTGGCAGTCACAAAAGAGACATTCTCTCCACCTTCGCAACACAAAAGACTAAAGGTGTACACTAAATACTTTCATTATCTGTGTAAAGTCGCCTTGCAGGTCTGAAGAGTGTCCAAACAATTGAGCTAATCATAACCCTTCCCATGGCCATCATAAAGATCATGCACATGTTATTGTAGTCTCCTAGAGAGCAGATATGTGGTGACGTTGTGTTCTGAGAGCCAAGGGCAAATAAAAACACACAGTCTAAATATACCGTCTACACGCATACATACAACTCACCCTGACTCAGTCAAGAAAAATCCACTTACTTTGAATATGCAAATGAAGCAAAGTAGAGTAAAAATCGGGGATTGTTTTCTCTGACAGGTGTGCTTTATCATGATGACTGTACAGGTGGAGCTGGATTTGGGGATGTCAGTATGACTTGGCAGGATTGGTGAGATTTAGCCTAATGTAGAGTGACTGACATGTTCTTGAAGGATTTCTATGTTACCTATATGTTTACCTTATATACGATTGACACAACATAATTTGTGGATTCATTCATTCATTCATTCATTCATTTTCTTTTCAGCTTAGTCCCTTTATTATTATGGGGTCGCCACAGCGGAATGAACCACCAACACCAGCGGATGCTGCAACCAGTATAAATGTATGTTCCTACTGAAATCACACATATGTTAACATAATATTGTATATCAATAATGCAAACTAAGTAACCTTTAATGTCTAGGTGAAGTGAAAGTTCCTCAGACCTTTATTTCAGTATGTTAATCTACTTCCAACTGAAATGGAATATTAAGTAGGAGGCGGGGCTAAACTACCAGTATGATAACGGTAATTAATATGCAGAAATCCACGGGTTGACATCAACAGAAGGACTGACACTCCAAATGCAGCAGCAAATGGCCAGATTTGATTGACAATTACCAAAACAAATATAACTTGCACTGTTTAATTTCACGCGGCCGCCATTTTAAAGAACCAAAGCGAGGCTGCAGTGGGAAGAAACCCGTAAGTGTAGGACCAGCACTGTGAACATTGCAGCAATATGTTGTGGACTACAAACCTCCAGCTGTTGCTGAGATTTTGAAATGCAGAAATTGTGTAACCATCACTTGAATATTATTCAGTAAGTTTAATTTAAACAATTAAAAGCAAATTAGGCATCAAACAACATCGCAATCTCTGTAAGAGTAGCATGCTCAAGTGTCCTCCAAGGCTTCAGATCATGGCACCAGTTAAACACCGTGGGGACGCTTTCCTGCTTCAGCCTATGTAACCCGGTGAGTGATAAAACACTGCAGTTCTTTGTAGCACACCCTCGTGTTGTCTGTAATAGTGTTGTCCTGGTACTGAAGTTTTAAAACCGGCTAACATTGTGCGCGATTGACTCGACTGATCTTCACGGCTGCTTCGCACTTCAGTCTTCGTGTATCTGTGTTTGCACTCAGTTTACCGCTCTTCACCCAGTGCAAACACAGATACACAGAGGCTGGAGCGCGAAGCAGCCGTGAAGATCAGTCGAGTCATCAAGCAGATCGCTCGGCTCGTCTGTGTTTGTGCTCAGTAAACAGCGGAGGGTGATGACCTTCTCGGCCAATCACAAGCATTTCTGTTGAGCATGTGAACACAATGGCAAATCAGCGCTGTTTTAAGAAAGCCATCAACATTGACTAAATGCTAGTGGGAAATTGACGGTTTTTCTATTAATTCAGTATCATGACGAATCTAATATGATGAAAGAATCAGTTTATTAACTCGAGTTTGATAAATGGCATCTAAAACGTGTGTTTGGGAAAGAAAACGTTAGCTTACTAGTGCCATTTCCCTTAACTTAGCTGGAAATGAGCTCTGACATCCCTTTTTATTTTCACCATTCATTCAGGATGGACCTTCGGGTCACTCGGAAGGCGGTGGAATAATACATTTGTGTTACTTTCTCTTTGCTGATAAGATATACAGCCAAGTACACAACGTTCCCATGCAACTCCCAACAATACTTCCGGGTGTCTTCCCACCGCAGCCTCGACTTCACTTTTTAAAACAGCGGCTGCGTGAAATCAGTCTATTATTCTTTATTTATATTATTCTATTGAGCTAGCAAAATAAAAATTGTACATTTTAATTTCACACGTGCTTTAAATAAAATCATATACAGCACTCAACATTTAAAGTGGATCCAAAGCTTTCGTCAAAGTTTTACTAAAACTATTAAACAACACCCATTCTTGTCTTGGGTGTTGACTACTGTAGGTCAATTAAAGGTAAAAGTCTTACCTCTACCCAATTAGTGAGCCAGTAACACTCCGGATCTGTGTTTTCCACAGTAAAGAGCACATTTCCCCGTGGGATGACGCTTCCCTCTGGCACAGCCTTAATCTCGATGGGAAGGTGACCGTTGTATTTCTGTACAAGTGATATAACATTAAAGATGTGACTGAAAATCAATCACGGGACAAACCAGGGTTCCCACTCTTTTATAAGAGCTTTTAAAAGCGCCATAAAGTTCACATCAAGCACCTCTGTAATTTACACCAACAACATATAAACGTCATTACTGTACTTAACATTTAACTTACATAATATTTACATCAAATGTGCCATTTTCAACCGTCATGTTCGAAGTCCTTTAATAAAAATGTGCTGAAGACAAAACTGGTAATATTCAAATGTGGTTTCTAAAATGTGCATTATTTCTAGTAGTTTCTAGTAGTTTTTGTACAATTGTTAAATTAAAGATTTTTAAATGAAGAAATTTTGGGGGGTTTTTTTGACATCATCATGAGAACTGTTGAAATAACACCAAAAACTATTTTTATTTAAAGCACTTTATTTAAACTCAAGCCCTTTCAAGGACCTGTGTTTGTTTTATGCACTTTCCAGGCCTTGCATATACAGTTCAAGTCAAAATGAATCGGCCTCCTGTTTTTTTTCTTTCTAAAATTTCCCAAATATTGTTTAGCAGAGCAAACAAATTTTCACAGTATTTCCTATAATATTTTTTCTTCTGGAGAAAGTCTTATTTGTTTTATTTCGGCTAGAATCAAAGCAGTTTAAATTTTTTTTTAAACATTTTAAGGTCAAAATAATTAGCGCCCTGTTACGCGGGTCTGTGTTTTTTAAATTCATTTATTTATCTGTTGCGGGTTTGTGCTTGTTGCGCTTGAGTTATAGGAGGAGTTTTTCTACCCGGCTTGTCCAGGATTGGATGACGCCTGTGACGTCACTTGGGATTCCCAGTATATACGGCTGACAGCAATGGCGGCTCTCTCTCTCTCTTGCAGTCTCTCACCCTCCCTCAGCTCGGTGGTGGCTTGAGCTCAGGCGGTCTGGCTGGCGGTGCTCCGCATCTACATGCCGCTCTTTTTAGTGTTTTGTTCTTGTCAAACTTTTGATTCTTCAGTTCGTAATTGGCTAACTACTTTATTTTGATACTTTATTTCGAAGCAGGTAGTGGTTTATTTTTATTTTCATAGTCACGTTTTGTTATTTATTTAGTTTAGTGAAGGTAAGCAGTGGCCCTGAAGACTCACCTGTTTTTTATTCCTTTCACGGGAGTTGTAGGTAAGATCTGTCCATTTAAAAACAGTATAGTCAGAGGCCTGTTTTCCTTAGCTGCCCTACCCGTCTACTTGATTTTTCTTAATGTTTTGTCTCTTTTGGAAACATATGATTTATGAAAATTAAAGAGTATTGACGGGACGTCAATTTATTAATTAAATCGTCTGTGTCTTTCATATGTTCGGCTTAAACCTTGATTGTTGTTATTATTCAAGCCAGTTTTCAGTTTTGATCCGTAACACCCCCTTAAGCTGTTTTTTTTCCATTGGCTACAGAACAAACCACAGTTCAAGAGTTCACACTTAGCTGATGATTGATTATAAGCAAGTTTGGCATGCTGTCCTGGGAGAGAGCCCTGAGCTCGAAGGTTCTAGAGCCCTGGGCTCCCTCCCGTTTGGAGGAAGAGAGGGGAGCCTTGAGCTCAGGTAGATCTCGACAACTCCCCCTTGATAGGAGCTGATGACTAAAAATTGAATGCTATTAAAAGATATGCTGCATTATAAGATTACCTGAATTGCAAATTTAGATACATCAATTTACTTGTTGTGCATGTTTTTGGGATGTGGGAAGAAACCGGAGGACCCGGGGAAAACCCACGCAAGCACGGGAAGAACATGCAAACTACACACAGAAACAACCACCGGCCTGTTGAAGGACTAGAACCGGTGACGTTCTTGCTGTGAGGCGACAGTGCTAGTCACTGGGCCACCGTGCCGCCCTATGGAGGGAAAGGTGAAAAGGTAGGGGTGGAAGGGGGGATTCTTCAAATCACAGATGACTGTAGTGAAAAAACCCTGGCTCTTTATAGTGGGTCAGGAATGGCCTGATTGGTGGATCATGCATGCTAATGCAGAACCAGCCGTGTTCAATCATAATCACGTGCTCCTCTCGAAATTAGTTTATGAATAAACTTCACTTATACAATGATTTGCCTAATTATTACCCTAACTTAACCTAATTTACCTAGTTAAGCCTTTAAATGTCACTTTAGGCTGAATACTAGTGTCTTGAAGAATATCTAGTCAAATATGATGTGCTGTCATCATGGCAAAGATAAAATAAATCAGTTATTAGAAATTAGTTATTAAAACTATCATGTTTAGAAATGTGTTGAAACAAAATCTTCCCCTCCGTTAAACAGAAATTGGGGAAAGATGTAACATCCCCTATATGTAAACTGGCTTGGAGAAACTACCTTAATGTTATATTTAGAGCGAATTAGACACTATTTGAAAAGAAAACTCGAACAATTTGACAAAATTTGGCATCCTTTTAACTGTTACCTTATCATTTCTGTAATGTTTTAATATGCTTTGTCATCATACTCTGTTGTTCAAACAGTTCTTTGTGAACAAGTCGTCTTGTTATGTGGGAGGGTTTTTTATTTACTATTAAGATTTTCTTTTTTTTTATTTGTTAAATGTGCACAAAATATGCAAAACAGAGAATCCTTTTGTTTCTGAACTAGTGTCTTCAATAAAACTTGACAAATAAAAGGGAAAATTCTATACGTCTTTATAACAATAAATCTGAAATTCAAGCATTTCAAGAAGTGTGGGAACCCTGCAAAACAAGAGACATCCAGAGTTATATCAATACCTCCAAAATGTAATTCCATCCCTTTTCATTGAAAACATCATCCTGAAAGTGTTCCCGGTACACCTCTTTAGCTTCCTGAATCTTCTCTGGTGTGATGACCTGTCCTGTAAGAACAAAACATCAACTCTGAGACTGCAGTAACACACACCACAAGGAAGAAACAACTCAAAACAAGAATAAACTACACAGTGAAATAGGAGTGTCACGATTTCGATTTTAATTGAAATCGATTGAAATTTATGCTTAAATTAAATCGATTATCGAATCAAAAAATAGAATCGTCGATGCTGCCATGCCCCCATGTCACGTCAGCTTGTCTTGCCAAGCGGGAAAAAACAGGCTTGTTGAAGTGCTTGTTAAACTGCAGAAGCAGGAGACCCGTCGACAAAACTTAAACCCTCTCCTCTTTTCAATGAAGTCGCCGGTGTGTAAGCATTTTGGATTTCCAGTGAGTTATGTTGACATCGTTCGTGTTGTCGACAAAAAAAACACAGTTTTGCAAGCTCTGCTATGTGCGTATTACATACGGTTCGTCCGATAGACAACACCGGCATCGCGATCCTCCGCCCGCCCCGTTGCAAATCCGCTCGCGAAAAGTACACACTCAGGCCCTGTTTACACTGTCTTTGTTTTTAAATGCCATTTTAGAACGACAACGATTTGACATCCACAGTGGCGTGTAGCATTTCTGAGCAGCCCTCCTTCCTCACTACCTCTGAAAAGTATCTTGCCTTTATTCATTTACTGTATGATTTGTTTATGGGTAAAACAAAGACCATCCAGGTCAGGTAGTTTAAACGGTAGGCTACAAATAATTAATTGGTCATTAATTAATTATTCATAATCGAAAATCGAATCGAATCGTGCCTTCAGAATCGAAAATGTAATCGAATCGAGAATTTGGAGGATCGTGACACCCTTACAGTGAAAGCAGGTGGATGGTGTGTGTGCATGCTTAATTTCCCTTTCCCTACATCCTTGCGTTATTGCCTTAAAGAAATCTTGCATGCTCGCAGTGCACCTTTGTCCCGTCCACACTTCAAACTAGCTTAAAGGGATAGTTCACCTAAAACTGAGAGTTCTGTCATCATTTACGCAATCTTTACTTGTTTTAAACACTAAGGGAGATATTTTGAAAAATGCTGGAAACACTGACTTCCATAGTATGAGCAAGCAAAGAAAAACATTAAAATATAAAAGTAGTGCATGAGTATTTATTAGTCTAACAGTGCTGCAGAATCCAGACTGAAGCTGGGAGCTTGTATTGAGCGACCGGCCTTTGTGGGTGAAAGAGCAGATGTTCCTTTGTCTCACTTTTTCATCCTACAACACAATTTCTAAAGCCTTGGCCCCAGCGCACCATGAAATCCTTTACAGTGCAAAAATAGACAAAATTCCTTTATGAATGTGGCAAATCTGAGCGGCATGCAAGAACAACAACCTCAAACCAGACTGTTAGTCACACATCTTGCACTCAAAGCCCTGTTCATGCTGCTGCTTCCCTAGCCTATAACTCTACCCTCACGTTTGCTCATTTAACACTGGCTCCGTCACGAGAAAGTCTTTTGTTTTTCCTCTGCTGGAACAAACAGTGGTGTTACTTTTCAGGGTAGAATGAAGCAAACTGACTGTATGACTAAGTTAGGCTGCATTCACGAGAGTCAACGCAAGCTAAATAAAGCAATCAATTGCCTTACCTTTTAAGTATTTGTGGAGAATGTACTGAAGCCCATAGAAGACCGTCTTGTCGTATTTGACTTTTCGGGGCTTGGTCGAGTCTGTCTTCTTCTCACGGCACTCAAAGTAAGAGTACACCTTACTAGTGTTGGGTGGGTACTGTTTATAATGTGTGACCTGCAATGAAAGAAAGATATTTATTATTAATACTTGCTGAATGCTTGATTCTGATTGGCTGATGAACATTCTAAATGAAATGCACAGCAAAAGTAGTTCCGGCAAGTTTTGAGTGGATTACAGCTCCATACATAATATATATCGCCTTACATTAATAAGTGACTTGAGTCATTGCAGAGATGTATGGATGCAGTCCTCCAAGCTCATGGGAGTCAGACACAAAATGTATTCTTTCTCTACTGCAGCATGACTTTATATTCTATACTGGACATTATTTCTGTTAAGTGACAAGACTTTTGTTTAAGCAAAGTCTGACCTTACTGTCCTAATTAAATCTTTCAAAATCAAGGCATGATCATACTTACTTTAGTTAAATAAGCGTAATCTAGAGGTCTTCGCCTTTCATATAAGCCACTTCAGAAACCAAATGATCAACTAGAAGACCAGTTATTATTTGTTGTTCTTAAAACTTCGATAGGTGACAAGACTTTTGTCAGGTTATGTATGCACATTATTTTATATATACACTTGAAGTCAGAATCATTAGCCCCCCTAAATTACTAGCCCCTCTGTTTATTTTTTTCCCCAGTTTCTGTTAAACGAAGAGCAGATTTTTTTTAACACATTTCTAAACATAATAGTTTTAATAAGTCATTTCTAATTCGCCATGATGACAGTAAATAATATTTGACTAGATATTTTTCAAGACACTTCTATACAGCTTAAAGTGACATTTAAAGGCTTAACTAGGTTAATTAAGGGTAACTAGGCAGGTTAGGGTAATTAGGCAAGTTAACGATGGTTTGTTCTGTAGACTATCGGAAAAAAAATTAGCTTAAAGGGGCTAATAATATTGACCTTAAATTGGTTTTAAAAAAATTTAAAACTGCTTTTATTCTAGCGGAAATAAAACAAATAAGGCTTTCTCTAGAAGAAAAAACATTATCAGACATACTGTGAAAATTTCCTTGCTCTGTTAAACATAATTTGGGAAATATTTAAAAAAGAAAAAAAAATCAAAGCAGGGCTAATAATTCTGACTTCAAATGTAGATACATTGCAGTGATGCATTTACGGTGAAAACTTAAAATGCATGCTTTTGTTAGCATCAGACAAAGGAAAGATTTGAATATCTGATTGCATCTTCAATGCAAAAACCCACAACCCACATATATATCATGCTAGCACATTTTGCACCGACATCTAACTTCTAAAGACAAAAACAAAACATCCAGCTTGCCCTCTTGCTCTTCAAGAGCTGTGATATAAATACACCCTATGCCAAGAGCGTGACTACAGTTACTCTAGATATCAAACAGACAACATTCTAGGCTGCCTTCTGATATTTTGTGCATGCTGACCTTTCCCCAGCAGTTTTTGGCCGTTCTCCTGTGTACAGGCCAGCCTGGGAAAGGTTATACCCTCATGGTTACGCCCGACAGCTACAATGGTTGTTCCCTGCACTCCAATAGCCAATTTCAGGCAAGGACAGTGGGCCTGGTTGAGTATGGATGTGCAATACTATAGGGAAAATAATAATAGCATATTTTTTATGTATTAATATTACAAAAATATATTATAGGAAGTACAGTGGAAATTTCCTTTATTCATTTAAATATTAGTATTTAAAAATATTACAAAGAAGAGCTAATAATTTTGCCATCAACCACATATTTGGCACCCTTATTGTGAATAAGCAGCCATGAAGATCCTGCTCGAGTCTCTTTTCTGAAATAAACAGCTCATGAACAGCTGCATGCAGTCCAGGCATCCACAGCAACTGACTGTGCACATGGAGGACACCACAATGCCAGCCTCAGATCCAAAGAATCTGCCACAGGGTTTTGGGTAAGCAGCTATTTTGATGTGTGTCAAACTGAAAGTAACACTGCATAAACAAGTTGTAAAACCAAACGATCCAGATCGGATCTGATGTTCCCAATTGCACATGCAATCAATAAGAGCCCTGAAATCTCTTGCACAACACAGGCATGTCATTGATGCAGTCGATTGAAGATAAAAGAGGAACGGAGCAACACCAGATGGAACTGTTAACACAAGCCTAACCAGTGCCCTTTACAATGCTAAAGGTAGTGTGCTTATTGATTGGTCCATGCATTCAAGTACTTTTCCCCGTCATTTTTCTCCACAGGGATACCTCAATATAATTCAAAACTATATTAGAGGTTTCGCAGTGTCAAATTCATTCATTATGCCATGGCTCATGAAGGATGATTGCAGGCGGTTTCATTGTTGAGGTATCTAAATGATGGCCAAACAATCTATACTGCTCAGTATTGAGTATTTAATGGATAGTTCACCCAAAAATGAAAATTATGTCATCATTTAGACAACCGTTATCTTTAGATACTTAGATATTTAGAAAAATGATGGAAACCTACTGTATAACTATTGACTTCCATACTATTTGTTTTTCCTACTATGGAAGTGAGTGGTTACAGGTTTTCAACTTTCTTCAATTGCTTCTTCTTTTTCTAACAAATCGATTTTTCAAAATTGGAAAACTGAACACCCTTTAAATATTGATTATTATTTGATTATTGATTTGGTATTTGATCATTTGGAAAACTTGACTGCTTTAGCCCAAAAAAACCATCAGTGCATATAAGAAACAGTGTAAATACCTCTTATTGTGCAAAAGAGATATTTCAAAAGAGGCAAATAGAGAGAAGAGTGTTTCTACAGGTGGTTTGTCAAGTCTACTCACCTGTACTCAGAAACATTTAATAACCTTTTAGGATTGGAGGAATAATTAATTAATATATTATTGATATATAATTGATTTTTTTTATCTCTCTCTCTATCTATCTATCTACCTATCTATCTATCTATATTTATTTTTTTCTTTTTCTTTTTATTTATATGTTGCGTGATATTTTTGAGATATTTAGAATTTAATTTCTTTTTTCATATTTATCTATATATGAATATTTGAAATTGGCATTATGCATTCTATTTGTCATGTGGTCTTGTATGTTATATTATATAGTTTTAATATAAATTGTATACAATAAATAAATAAAAAATAGATTTTGTGTCACCAGAAGAAAGAAACTTGTTTGGAACCACTTGAGGGAGAGAAAAGAAATGAATGAATTCTGCCTGAATATGTTGAATTAAATTCATTACAGGCTGAATTACATGCATTGCATTGCATGTCACCACAGGGGAATGAACCAACTTATCCAATATACGTTTTACGCTGCGGATGCAACCTGTTACTGGGAAACATCCATACACACTCATAAACTACGGACAATTTTAGCTTACCCAATTCACCTATAGCGCATGTGTTTAGCCTTGTGGGGGAAACTGGAGAACCTGGGGGAAACACATAAACATGGGAAGAACATGCAAACTCCAAATATATATATATATATATATATATATATATATATATATATATATATATATATATGTGTGTGTGTGTGTGTGTGTGTGTGTGTGTGTGTGTGTGTGTGTGTGATTTTTTACCTTAATATTTATATACTTATTTAGAGGATAATTATGTTTTGCTTATACATTCTTGCTTGGTGAATTGTATTAGTGGGGGATTTTTATGGTGTGTTTTATATATATATATATATATATATATATATATATATATATATATATATATATATATATATATATATATATACTTATACATATATATATATATATATATACATATATATATATTTATATTTTTATATATATATATATATATATATATATATATATATATATATATATATATATATATATATATATATATATATATATATATATATATGTATGTATTAATATTATGTGTATTTTATTTACAGTGTTATTTGTCTTTCTGACCTAAGATGAACCTAATAAAAAAAAAGCTTTAATCCTTTCATACACAAACATAAAATTAACCACAACTCTTTTTTTTTTTACTCCTGTAGTTGATCTCTACTTCCTTCTCATCCCCTCTTGCTGTAAATGTCACTGGCTTCTCCAGTTTCACCTCGTTTCTATCAAAGCCTAAACCTTGAATGGAAAGTAAACATCACACATTTAAACGTCACCAGTAGCATCACAAGGTCAAAAGCAGAGCTAACGGTGCTGAAAACGAGTACACAATATTCAAAGTGAACATTTCTGAGTAATGTTGGAAACCTGTAACCGCTGACTTCCGTAGTATTTGTCCTTCCTACTATGGAAGTCAATGGTTACAGTTTTTCATCAAATATCATCAATTGTTTATTTAACAGAGGACAGACAGTAAAACAGGGAGTACATTTTAACTTGTGAGCGAACTATCCCTTTACTCACTGTAATTGATGACTGAATCAAATAAGCAACAATCAGCTATTTTCCCGCACGTGATCTCTGACCCTCCAATGACCTCAATGGGATCCTTAAGTAATGAAGCGTCCCCTTTAAAATGCTAAATGAACGTGTCGTCAGCCTCAATGCAAAACACGAGAATCCTATTACATCTGTGGTGGGAGGATAAAAGAGAAACGCATGCACTCCCGTCCTCGAGCAGCGCTGACGAAAGAAAACACTGATCAAACATTGATGAGGCCATATGCACAACATAGTAGACTCAATAAAGATGCTGCTCGGGATGTAGAAAGTACAAAGCAAAGAGTCAAAGGCGTGAGTAGCAACTTTAGGATTAAAAGAAGTGAAACTTGGTTACGTTTGGCAATTCAACATCAATGAAGATACAAAGGTTAGAAGACACTTCCTTCTAATCAATCCTGGGAACAAATGAGGACTCAACAGCAAGTGTTTATCATTGAGCATCCTGAGAAATGAATAATGTGCATTAACGATGTGCACATTTTGTTCGGTTTTCTTATCCAAGAGATAGCCCCTTTCAATTAATGGTGAAACATTATGGCCTTCCTCAGAATCACTTCTTTAAATACTTACAGGTCAGGAGCTTTGTGTACTCTCGAAGGAAAAATTATAACCCTAACCCTGTCAACCATTGAGGCCCCGTATACACTAGTGCGTTTTTGTTTTAAAACGGCGGTTTAGATCAAAAACGATCCGCGTCCACACTAGCGTTTCTGAACATATCTCCGTCCACACTACGCCATCAAAAATGTATATCACGTGACCATTCGCGCAATCTGGGCTAGAGCTGCACGATTCTGGCTAAAATGAAATTAAAATAATTCAAATAAAAGACTTTTGCCTAAAAAAAAGATCACGATTTTCTCACGATTCTGTAGATGTAAAATAAAGGTATGGTAAAAACAAATATATATATCACAACATCGATAATAATATTATGTGGTCTACTGGTTTTTATAAATAATTCTATTCTACTTATAATTATTATGATGTTGAATTATTATGTTTGAGATATATGCTTGCAATCTGTCATAAAAAAATCAGACATTTGCCATTATCAGATTATATTATATAGGCTAGAGTAGTTATACTGACATTGTAAAAATTTATTTTCATGCACAACTATGAAAGAAAAAAACAAAACATATCAAATGCTTGCCGTAATCATAACTCTAAAATGCGATATGATCATTTAAATGAACTGCACACTTTCGGTTTCATTTTGACTGCTAAGTGCTTGTTCATACTTCGCGCGTGGTTCCCAAACCATCACTCTGTGCCACAAACAGAATATTATTTACAACTGTATTACCTGTTACAGCATATGCAGGTTCTGTTCAGTAAAGTAGACACGCGCTTTACAATATCTTTACATGTTATTGTAAAGTGTTACCCATATTCTTACTCTGTGTAACATCATGCATTTAATGTAGTTATAATTATATATAAAACTATTAAAAGTAAAAATTAAACGGCGCTAAAACTACTCCAAAACTAACAGGTTTTCTGGAAAATGATGTGTTTTTGATGCATGGTGTCTTAAAGGATTTTGAAATGGAAATAATATATGTAATATCAGTTTCCATTATATATTTTGGCAGCCTTAAAATACTTAAAGTACACTCTTATAAACTGTAAAAGCTGTCTAAATATTAAACCAAAAGCAGACAACTGAAGGAGCAGTCATGTAGTGCAAACAAAATAAAAGAGAATAGAAATGAAAGGTGAAAACTGGGTTACCGGACTGACTTGTATTGGGTATTTTGCAATGGAGGATTGTGTCAGACAGGAGGACAATCACCACTGTTTCTTCATGAGTCTTATATTTTTAGCATTCACATATATTGTAGTGTTGAAATCAGGATTTTTCACAATTGGTACAGAGAATCTGAATTAAAAGGGCTTTTTTTTCTCTTTTTTTTCTTATTGACAGTGGTTTACTGAGCAAAAAATTAAGAAATTCATTATTATATAAATATTTATTTAAATTTAATTTAATTATTTATTATTCGTTATTATATAATTTCAGTTTTCTTAGAAATAAAAATATGCATGTGCATTACTCTCTGTAAACTATATAGTGAGCCCTAGTATTTCTACATTACCATAGTATTAAAGGTTATTATTCATAACAGAGCTCAGTCTAAGAAATTCAGCAGCTACTTATTTTAGTAATAAAAATTAACATTTATGCAAATTGCAAGACAATTGTAATTGCTTAAGTATAGTTGTAGGGTTATGTTTCTGATCCAATTTGTTTTTGAAAAATTATACATTTACATTGACTTTCTTAACACAAATAAATAAAGAAGAACAATGTAAAACAGATATTGATGGCACGGTGGCTCAGTGGTTAGCACTGTTGACTCACAGCAAGAAGGCTGCTGGTTTGAGTCCCATGTGGGACAGTTGGCGTTTCTGTGTGGAGATATGTCTTTGGACCCCCCCAGTCCAAAAATGTAACTAAATCGGTGTGTAAATGAGTGTGTATGGGTGTTTCCCTGAACTGGGTTGTAGCTGGAAAGGTGTCCGCTGCCTAAAAAAACATATGATTTATATATTGTAACATAACCTTATTGTAAAGTGTTACCCTTATTTCTTATGTAATAATATGCAATAACTGTAGCTCTAATAATATTAAAACTAGTAAGTAAAATTACTCCTAATTTAACAGGTTTTCTGGAAACATATTGTATGTTTTCGATGCATATAATTTTGAAACGGAAATAAAGTTTTAAAACTTTTATGTAATATCAGTTTCCATGCTACACTTTAGGAACCCATAAAATACTTAAAGTACACTTTTATATACTGCAAATGCTGTCTAAACATTAACAACACATCTATATCACTCAAATAATGTCCAAATATAATTCTATATTCTATAAAATATCTTAAAAAGCAAAAACCAACTTCATCAAATCCATTTACAGGATAATTTATAGATGATAAGTAAATCATACTGCTAGTAGCCACTAATAAGGTTAATGCAGGTGTAGTAGGATGTTAGCTGTGCATCTATATTATTCAAATAATGTCCGAATATAACTGAATATCGTATCAAATCTCTTAAACATCTAAATGAGCTTTATCAGATCTATTTATAAAATCATTTATAGGCTTATAGATAATGAGTACCACATACTAGTAGCCACTACTAAGGTTAATGCAGGTGTAGTAACGTTAGGATGTTAACTACACATCTACATCAGTCAAATAATGTCCAAATTTAACTCGATATTTTATTAAAAATCTAAACAAACTTCATCAGATTCAATAACAAGATCATTTATAGATGTGAAGATAATGAGTACATACTAGTAGCCATTACTAAGGTTAATGCAGGTGTAGTAATGTCAGGAGGTTAACTGCACGTCTATAGTATTTAAATAATGTCTAAATATAACTGCATATCATAACAAATCTCTTAAAAATCTAAATAAACTTCATCAAATCCATTTAAAAAATCATTTAAAGACTTAATGATAGATTAATAGACTTAATGAATGATTTAATACTGAGTACAACATACTAGTAGCCACTACTAAGGTTAATGCAGGTGTAGTAACGTTAGGATGTTAACTACACATCTACATCAGTCAAATAATGTTCAAATATAGCTCGATATTATTTTAAAAATTTAAACAAACTTCATCAGATCAAATAATAAGATCATTTATAGATATGAAGGTAATGAGTTCATACTAGTAGCTACTACTAAGGTTATTGCAAATGTAGTAATGTCAGGAGGTTAACTGCACATCTATATCAGTCAAATAATGTCAAAATATAACTCAGTATTATATTAAATCTCTTAAAAAGCAAAACCAACTTCATCAGATCCATTTATAGGATAATTTAAAGATAAAGAGTAAATCATACTATTAGTAGCCATTACTAAGGTTAATGCAGGTGTAGTAATGTCAGGATGTTAACTACACATCTACATCAGTTAAATAATGTCTAAATATAACTCGATATTATATTAAATCTCTTAAAAATGTAAACAAACAGCAACAAATCTATTTAGAAATCTATAGATAACCTTAATGAGTACAACATACTAGTAGCTACTGTAAGGTTAATGCAGGTGTAGTAACTTCAGGATGTTAACTACACATCTACATCAGTCAAATAAGGTCCAAATATAACTCGATATTATATTAAATCTCTTCAAAATCTAAACAAACTTTATCAGATCCATTTCTAAATGTGTAGATAACGGTAATGAGTACTACATGTTAGTAGCCACTACTAAGGCCAATGCAGGTGTAGTAACGTTAGGAGGTTAACTGCACATCTACATCAGTGAAATAATGTCGAAATATCACTCGATATTATATCAAATCTCTTAAAAAGCTATGATCAGATTAGTTTTCGCCAAGACACATGCGTTTCCTGAAAAATGAAAGTGCTTTCAGTTTTGCTTTTGAAAAAAGAAATACCCCCCACCCCCCTTCCAGGACCCGTCGCCCTTTAGGTGTAATACGCACTCATAACCGCTTATAATCATGTAGTAAAACATAAATAATAAACATATTCATCCCTGAAGACTGAAAATGAAGATATTTCAGCCGTTTATCCTCGGCCTAGCGACCTGAATGGATCGGCCTGAAGGATGAAACCACCTTCAATTCTCTTATTCTCAGTCACAGGTTCACCGGTGCGCTACACACCGGGCCTGGTTCGCTTTTAATCAGTATTGTCGGTGTCTGCTCACCTTGTAGGAGTCGGTAGCTAGCAAAATGTTGAAATCCGCGGCTTCTCTGTGTTTCTCCATCTTCCCCTTGATGTGACTGGAGTCGCGCTGCTGCCTGTCAGTTCTGTTGTTCCTTCTCCACCGCGCGGACTCTCAACCAACCCCCGTCGCTGAGAAGCGGGGATGACGCGAGAGGGTGGGTGGGACCGTTTTGGGCTGCGCTGGCCAATGAGGGGATGAGGTGACTGAGACGTCATGGCAAGGAGGCGACGCGGAAAGTGAATGGATGACACATGACTGAGAGACATAGAAAATATACAAAGAATTATAAAATACTACATTTATTATAGTTAGGTGGCTTTGTTTTTTATGTTTTATATGCTTTGTTTAATATTTATTATAATAAATATTTGTTATAATAATATTTTTTGGTGGTTCATTCCACTGCGGCGACTCCTAAGGGGAAGGCAAATGAATGAATGATATATTATATTTATTATAATGTTACTTACGGTTTAATATGACAGCCTAACAATGGAATTTTAGATTATATAACATCCATTTTCAGTCTATTATCAAATGCAACACAGGTAAATAGAGTAAAACAACCCTATAGTCAGGTGTGGCTTAACAAATAAGCGAGGTAAGCAGCCGCTTATGGCCCCGGGGAATTAGGGGGCCTCAACTAATGTCAAGCAGCCTATATTAATCATTCATTCATTAACTTTTCAGTTCAGCCGCTTTATTAAATCCGGGGTCCCACAGTGAAATGAACCGCCAACTTATCCAGCAAGTTTTTACGCAGCGGATGCCCTTCCAGCCGCAACCCGTCTCCGTAAAACATCCACACACACCCATTCACACTCATACACTACGGACAATTTAGCCTACCCAATTCACCTGTACCGCATGTCTTTGGACTGTGAGTTATATTTGGAGCAACCCACACGAACACAGGGAGAACATGCAAACTCCACATAGAAATGCCAACTGACCCAGCCAAGGCTCAAACCAGCGACCTTCTTGCTGTGAGGCGACAGCACAACCTACTGTGCCACTGCGTCTCCCTATATTAATCATACAGCACTTTTATAATTGTTCTATCATGTTGTAAAATCAGAACCGGGGCCCCAATTAATAATGGAACGATCCACACTGCACATGCAAATATTAAAATCAAAATCACAAATATGGCTAATTAACTGTGCAGAGTTTATGAACTTGCTTTTTAATAGTGATTTTATTGTATTTAATTTTACATTAAGAAGATAAAGACTCCACTTATATTTTTATTTACAATATTCAATGCTAGGGCCCCATAACTGACATTGCTTAGGGTCCCTAAATCACTAAGTCAGCCCCTGCCTTTAGTGCATAGGGCTCAAACTGGATTCCTGGAGAGCCGCTGCTCTGCACGGTTTTGTATCCAGCCCTAATCAAACACAGCTAATCGAAATTACCAAAGGGTTCAAGACTCTTTTGAACAGCTCGATTAATTGGATCAGCTGTGTTTGTTTAGGATTGCAGCAAAACTGTGCAGAGCTGCGGCTCTCCAGGAATTGAGTTTGAGACCTAAGCCAGGGTGTAGTTTTAGGTTTGTTTTATATGTTCCTATTTATATTATTTGTTTATTAATGGATTATCTTTATTATTTGTGCTCTAGCAGTTTTGTACATGTTGATGAAAGTGTTTAATTGAATTTTGCCTTATTGTACGTGTGCTATGCTGCAATAAAAAGGTAAAGAGAGTAAAAAAATGGTATGCGCTAATTTGCATATATATCTAACACAAAAATGTTACAAGACCTTGTAACTTTTGTATTATACATTTGTTATGTAATGATTAATAGTGCAAATAAACCATCGGTAAACTAAACATGAGCAAATTTGCATACATTATACAACAAATATTAGAAGCACAACAAGTTTTTTTGAAATGTCATAATTAAACATGCAAATAAAACATTGTTGATTTAAATATGTGCTAATTTGCATAGTTACTAGCACAAGTTTTAGAAGACCAAAAAGCTTTAGTTTTTTTAAATGTCATAATTAAATATGCAAATAAAACATTGTTGACTTAAATATGCCAGATTTTTAAATACATTTATAACATTAAAAAAAATCTAAAATTTGATAAAGAAAGGCTTACATTTTTTTACATCAAAGTTAAAGGTTTTTGCAGAGAAAAAAACTCTTTGACTATGTCCTTTTATCACTCAATAATTGAGAAAACATTTGAAATATTATGCATATTATTTAACCACTATAAAATACAATGTTGTAGATAATCAGCCAAACTTTCTCTGACCATCTCTCTATAAATTTCCCAATACTGAGTTGCAGCTGGAAAAGCATATACTGTGTAAAACATATGCTAGAATAGTTGGCGGTTCATTGCTTGCTGAATAAGGGGACTAAGCCGAAGGAAAATTAATAAATGAATGATCTCTCTATAAAAAATGATCTGAATGTGGCAACAAATAGGACTGTAAAGTCTGATCTGAGAGCTGCGCTTTCGTATTAATATATGATCAATACAAACAGAAACTTTTTGACCCTTGAACCTTTCTGCAGTTTCGTTTTAAGCTAAATTTAAGTCAGTGGAAATATTCTTTGCTGATGAAGACAGCTATGAAACTGCACATGTTATAAATATGAAGTATTAATAATATTTTACATTTAAATTAACTAACACAGTTTATAATGTAGAAATGATAGAATATCTTCAATGAGACCGTCTGACCAATCGCTTGCCGAGCTGAAAATGACGTCAAGTCAAAGCCCTACCCTAAAATCAGCCAATCACAGGGCTGTTGGAGCTGCTCTCTGATTGGCTGTGCGAAATACAGTATTTGACGTTAGTTCTACAGATCAGTGACTGCAGTTCCACATGACTGACAAAGGGGGAGCCACAGCAGGATTTAATAGTAAGTTTTCTAATGTAGGATCAATAATTATTGGCATTTGAAATCAATAAGTAAAGTCTACTGGTGTTTCACAAGCATAATTAATGCATTTGTGTATTCGGTCATGCTGTGGTATAGCAAGGTATGCTATGAATGTTATGTAATGATTGCGAAATCTTACAGTGTCATGCTTATATGGCTGAATAGTTGCTGAGCCAACATACTGCCAATTGGACTTTCACCTTTAGTCTATATTGAATTGAATGAAAATGCGTTCATATAAATAGAAAACAGAGTTATTAAATGCAATTAAAGTCTCATTGTTATTCAGCTTGATATATTAATAATAATTAATATAAAGATCTTCAAGTGGATCTCAGAGTTGGGACGAGTTTCAGCTTATGAAAAACTCTCCAATAGTTTACATGGAAGAATTGAAATTTATTTTGATAAATGGGGAAAATTTAAAAATTTCTGCGACCCATATTGTTAGTAAACATGTAAGATAAAAATAATAATTAAAGTTATGATTGTACCACCCCCCCTTTTTTTTTTTCTTTTTCTTTTTTAATTTCTCTTTTTTTTTCCTTTTACATTTTTTTCCTTGTGTTTGTTCTGGTTTACTTTTGCAATTAATATGATGCTATTTATTTATTGTATTTATTAAAGATGTTCTGATTTTATGTTAATGCTCTGTATTTGATATTCATCTGCATTATTTGAAATAAGAAAATTTAAAAAAAAAAGATCAACACAATAAAAAAAAATAATAATTAAGATGCATCCTCGTTCTAATATGCACTAATTAAAATCTATAAAATAGGAAGCTATTATACTACATTTTATTACATTTTAAATGCAAATTTAAATATATATTTTTGCTGCTAAAAGGGTAAAAGCTAGGTTTGAAGATAATAGGAAGAATAATGGGAAAACATATACGACAACAAGACAATTATTATTTTGGAAATAAAACTATATATATATATATATATATATATATATATATATATATATATATATATATATATATATATATATATACATACATACATATACATATACATATATATATATATATATATATATATATATATATATATATATATATATATATATTTTTTTTTTTTTTTTTTTTTAAATAAGTCAAAACTTTTATTCTAAATATGCCAAACAAGATTTAGATTTTTACCCTAAAAACCTTTGGATATCGTTCAATCCACCTTCTGTAAATCGTAGTGATGTATAAATATGCAAGATAACTATAAATAACATACCTTAATATTCATATACTGAGCAAAAACATAGCAAGACTGGTTTAAACATGTAGAATATATATGATAAAATAAAGTTACATTGAGAGAGAGGGTTGTTATACATGTGTAGATGATAAATGTGCACATATCATTCCATACACCACCAGAGGACGCCATTGCACAGGTAATACAGTAAAATGTAGAAAACATAGGCAAAAGACACTGATTTTTAAAGACTAAATGCTCGTTTTTGAGTTATTGAAATGCATAATAATAATAATAATAATAATAATAATAATAATAATAATAATAATAATAATAATAATAGTAATAACAATAATTATAATAATAATGCATATATACAAGTCTATAACAGAAGTACACGTTTTTTGTTCTTAAAATAAAACACATCTTTAAAAAAGTGAATTAATTAACTAATAAAATGAAGGGTGTGTGTTGCAAATCAGGTCTAAATAATGCTTCAGTGAATAACAAAAATTAATAATGCAAGACACATGCATATATGCATACATGAAAAGTAAACTTGAAAAGATTTAACATGCATTGCCATTTTAAGCAGTTTTAGGGGTGGTGTTTACATGAAGCCATCATATTATGTCAACGCAAAAGATATTTGCATAATATTGAAAAACCCTAGCTGTTATTTTCGGTGTAAAGTAAGAGCGAGCCAGTGTGTCCGGCCAATGGGAGCAGCAGCTGAAGCGTCATGCGCGTGACCAGGCGGTGAGAGAAGGGGAACGCGCTTTCTGGGTGATCGCGTTTATTTTGTATTAATAACAACGGCTGAAATAACAGAGTTTATACTTATTCGTAGTCTGTATTGGCTCTCACTGCATCCATGTATCAGTATTTACTCGACCGCGTTCAGGGTCATTGGCTCTGCATTTGCTGAACGGTAAGTTGTCATATTTTTCCGCTTTTTGACATTCACCTTCCGGCAAAACCGTTACTTCTGAACTGTCAGTGTTGGTATTGGATGGTCTAATTAATG